TTGTTAAGAACATATATGTCATACCATTGCAAATCTGTAATGAAATCATCCCATGTACAACAGTCAGGCAGTTAAAAAAAATCCAATTCATTCCGTAAAAGCCAAAAATCTATAGTGGTCCGAGACCCAAAACAACATTTTTCGTCCCTCCGGCAAAAAATACCTGCAAATATACGGTCTACAAAAACTCTGTCACTGCTTTAGCAACTCCCTATGCATGCAAAATATCACAAAGAAATAGGTGCTTGGCCTTGTAGATTTTTTGCTATTGCTGAAAGTTTGTACCCCCCTGTAAAATTACTTGTTTTCACCGAGCATGCTGTTTAAAAGCAATGTTTACAAACAATGGCGACCTTGACATCAATTATTATCAGCATGTGATTTCTAACCATGTTTTCGAATTTGCCAATGATCGTATTACATGTCACAAAAACAAATTTCATGCTGAAAATGCATTTTAAAGACAACCAGTCATTTAAATCCACAGTAGTCACTATATCCATGAAATCCTCCTGGCCATTCGAAGCTGCGGCTTCATTTAGTGTGGTGTGCTGCCTTAAGGCAAACTCCTCACAGCGGTTACGTCACGCTTTGCTACTTTAACCACTGCCACCACTGAAATCACGTGATGATAGTTGTATCATGTGACAAAAACATGGCGGCCAGTTTCAGAACGCCAGGGATCCCATATCAAACTGGCAGATTTATAATTACACCCTTACCAGACAAAATATGTTCAAGAAACACAATTTGTTATCACTTTAAAACAAGTGCCGGATCAAATCTTTTTGTGCAATCGTTCAATAACTGTTTATATTCTACCATTGTTTACTATGCATACGGTGTCACAGTGAAAATATCTTTCGTTATGTTTACAAAATAATTTTTATACGTATATTTTTTTACTTTCTTGTACATTAAGCATAACTATTTAACGAAAGAAATCTAAAATGATATAAAGTATTATATTTTAAAATTAAAAGTGAAAAAAATATATCCGGCTATATTCGGCCGAATTTACTTGTGGTGGCAGTGGTTACTGTACAGATCAGGGGAAGTAACCGCTGCGAGGAGTTTGGCCTTAAGGAGCACCTTAACATTGATTGCTGAACTTTATACAGACTTTTTCTGCAAATTTATGCATATTTCAATAAATAAAATGATTTAATTTTGCTAGGAATTGTTTGCTTTTCTTTATATGTGCCTTTAATGAACTATACCGTTTGCCCCATTTTCAGCGCTCGGCACGCTGTTTTTGGTAATAGGACATTTCGGACCATGGACGTTTCGGACCAGACATTTCGGACCAGATTTTGGGACACTTCGGACCATATTTAGGGACATTTCGGACCAGATTTTTGGACATTTCGGACCATGTGTTGGACATTTCGGATCATGCGTCAGACACTTCGGACCATTGTTTTGGACATTTCGGACCATGTGTTGGACATTTGGGATCATGTGTTAGACACTTTGGACCATTATTTTGGACGTTTCGGACCAGAATAGATATTTTTTATATGTTATGCATCAATTATTCTATAAACTAAAGTGTAACTTTAGAATATATGAGACACCATCGAACGATTTTACACCTATCCCGATTTAGATTAAATATATTTTGGACTATAAATGAAGAAAATTTAAAAAAACACAAACAAACAACGTTTTAATGACACGTTTGCAAAAAAAAATATTATAAAGTATATACAAAAAGACATTTTTATATTGCAGTCTGGACATCAATTTTTTTTACAATTATAATATTAGTTTGTTTATTGTTAATTAAAACTGTAATTTAATCGCATCAAATCCAATCAATTTAAATATTTGTTGTCAAATTAGGTGAAAATTGCATACATATGCTTCTTTAATTGAGTGAAACGTAACTTAAACGAGTTCTATTCAGCAATTGAAACGTGTGAAAAACTGCATTGACAAGGATGTCGTTGTTCTTTAATACCTGCTAGAACACGATTTGATTTGGTTAAAATTGACTTTAAATAGGTATATTCTGCGTGTACACGTATGTGTGTGTACTTATTGAACATATTATCAAATAGTTGATGAAACAGGTACGTATATCAATTTCAATTCTTTTAGATAAATTAAACATAGAGTATCATTATCTCTATATTTTGTATGAAGGACATTCGCATAAATATATCCTACGCTTACCAATATAGTTCTAAAGGTATTCTATTATTGTTTTGTTTTTTTCAATTCAATATTAAAAAATTGTCAATTGGTAATATAAGCTTGTCAGAAAATGTGAAAATCTCGTCGGACAGGTCATTATACTGCATGCATTTTGAATATCATAAAATATAACAATGTCAAATATTTGTTGCATTTATTATTAGAAAATATATTAAATACATCCTGAAATAACAAATAATTACATATAAAAAGGAATATATGTGCTGGTCCGAAGTGTCTCCATCATGGTCCGAAATGACCATCACATGGTCCGAAATGTCCCAAAATCTGGTCCGAAATGACCAAAAAATCTGGTCCGAAGTGTCTGGTCCGAAACGTCCGTGGTCCGAAATGTCCGTAATTCCTGAGAACATCCCAGTGTAGGCCCCCTACTTATTTAAATGTTTGTCACAAATGATTAAGCTGGTCTGTACATTTTATAGTCCAACTAATTCATGTAATTGTACTGCGAGACGAGATATTGTGCTATTTTCGTGTCTGGGCAATATCTCGCTTCTACTTTTTAAAGCGGAATTCTGTCCCAGAACGAAAATATCTCAGAATCAAGCTTTGGCACGTCAATATATTTTGACTATACATTTTACTACGATTTTAAAATTAAAAAAAAAACAGGAATTATTAAAAAGTGCTTCAATTATACAGGGTGTTCACTAGCCATGAAAACCCGAGGGTCATTTTGACTAAGTTTTACCAACAACAAGGCCAAATCCCGATGATGTTAACAAAATTTGACCCTCCAGTTAAATTCCAGACTGTCAAATCATGCCTTTTGGGAATTTGAAGGGTCAAACAGTCATTTCAAGGGTCAAACGGACACACTGGTAATCGATTTATACACAGACGCTTGGGGTCAGATCCTGCCCCCCCCCACTCCCAACGTGATACGCCCCTGTTAAGACTCTACCAAAACTATTTTAATATTTGAACACGAATGGGACATATATTACAACGATAAAAATGGTTTTCAAACAATTTTTACATAATGTGAAAAAATACCGTATAATAAAGTACTTGATGGTATACGGTATTTTTTCATATATGTAAAAATTGTTTGAAAACCATTTTTATCGTTGTAATATATGTCCCATTCGTGTTTAAATATTAAAATAGTTTTGGTAGAGTGTTTACAGGGGCGTAACACGTTGGGGGCAGGATCTGACCCCCAGCGTCCGTGGATTTATAGATCGATATATACTTATACATAGGCCTATATGACCATCAAGTACTTTATTAAACGGTATTTTTTCACATATGGCCCCAAGTCAACCCGGCCTCAAGTCAACCCGGCCCCAGATTGGTCAACCCGGCCCCAAACCAATGTTATTTCCAGTCAACGCGGCCCCATTCTTTTTTGCTTTAAAATATAAACAATTATCAAGAAATAAACAAAAATTAACAACAAAAACAAAAGTTTATCGATGATATCTTTTATTATTTATTTTATATAAAAACTACCAATATTAACAAACAAGCAACAGTACATGCATAGTTTACTGTTTTTACCGTCGCGAAAATAAGGTGACGTCTGTCTTCAACCTTAACCTCTCTACGATAGAAGTATTAAGAAAAAACTAAACTTTTTTATTGACAAATCATGGAAAAGAAACCTTAATGTGTTAAAATCATTACAGTAACTATGTTATTGTATGTTATTGTATGTTAAAAATATGAAATGACCAAAAGCACACTAAAGTGTTTCCTTTAACAGTTTTTAAGTAAGATTGATTATAGAGATGCTGCCATCTACCACAGGTATCGCAGGTCACTGCCTCCTGTCTGTCACGCTCAATATATCCACAATCAATACAGTTATCAGTCATAATAACATAAAATGATTTAACACAAAACCCTATCAATTTTTCAAACACTTATTGATATTCCAATACTTTTTACACGGTAAATATTCTTTGAAAATAAGTTAATAAAATACGAAACAAATATTAATTATACTGATGATCGTATTCAATAAAAACATTCAAATGAACTGAAAAAATAATTATTGTAAACTTAATTTATACAAACTTTTTAACTCGAAATTCTATGTATTTCTTTCTAATTATCGCATTAACACTTATGAAACCATCTTTAATTTAAATCGAATTTAAAGGATTTGTTTTCACATTTTTGTTAATTGATTGCATTAAACTGTTTGATTATCACATCTGAAATAATGTTGAGTTACATATAATTGTTGTATTGATGTTATATAATTATTCATTATCACTATTGCGTATTAAAGTCTTAATCGGCGCAATTAAATTTACCGACACTTTTATGCCAGTTCGCGTTTTTTTACTATTGTTCTATAGTTAATAATTTTATTCCATCGCACAACAAAATGACCTGAATAGTTTTCTTTGAAAAATACATATTTTGGGGCCGGAATGACCGATTTTGGGGCCGCACTGACCAATTATGGGGCCGCATTGACCAAATCAAAATACTGTAGGGCCGGATTGACCAATTTTGGGGCCGGGTTGACCAATTTTGAGGCCGGGTTGACTTGGGGCCGGGTTAACTTGGGGCCGGATTGACTGTAATTCTCTCCAATAACAGCCGATGCAGTTCCGATTGAACAATGCCACGTGGTTTCAAAATTTAATTGACATCCAAAAGAAAAATAATGTCTGTTTCGGTATTCTTATGATTTGAAGTATGTCTAACAACAATTTGTAGTCTAATATGTCTAACAACAATTTGTAATTTAAATATGTCCACTGATGTGCAGTTTTAAACAAATCCGATTATATGTCAACAGGTTTGTTTTTTTTTACTTTCAGTTTCTATAGTTGATAAACAAGGGCCGAAAAGTTGCGATTGTCTTAACTCAGCCCTGTCAGATTTTCGGCGCGATCTTTGGGTAACCCGATCTCCCGGCTCAATGCATCAACAACTCATAGAACCTAGATCATAACATATGAAAGGTATAATCCAACTACTGAGTATTGCATTTCTGTAAACCTTTAATTCAAATTATAATAATGCTTCAATATAATCCGGCACAAAATAAACAAAATTATAAATTATATTTTAAAACTTGACTCACTTCGGCCACGGACGTTTAGACCCTTAATTATGTCGTATTTTACAGAGTTATTGTCTTTGTGAATTTGTTTTTTTCTTGATATTATAAATAATTTATTTATATAGTTAAAATGATAATTATAATACTTCGAAAAATCATGGAAGTGACTAGGTGTACAGCTAGCCCAAATGGTGATCTTTAGGGCTTTTTATATAAACGATGGTGGGTATAGATGGATACCGAAAATAAGCTATTTTCGCGAAAATAAGATCGCGGCTACGAAAATAAGATTTATATTTGAAATAGTGCATTTATCTGTTTGAATAATTATGTAAGTAATATACTTATGCATTAATTCATTGAATGATTTTACAGCAAATTAAAATTTCAGAACAAAAAAAAAATTAATAAGTGAAGTTTGAGCCGAAAATACTCTCACGAAAATAGATCAAATTGCCGTGCTAAGCGAAAATAAGATCTGTATGAACATAATGTCTGTTTTCGAATAAGATTTATACGAAAATAAGATCTGTACGAAAATAAGATCTGTACGAAAATAATGTCTGTATATGAATAAGATTTATACGAAAATAATATTTATATGATAATAATATCTGGATCAGAATGATATGAAAAACAACTCTATATGAAAATGACTGTCTTTATAAAATAAAATCTTTACCGAAAATAAGATCTGTGTAAAAATATATCTGTATGATAACAAAATCTGTAAAAAATAAGATATCTATATTTTTGATATGATTGGTGACTATGATAAACACCTTTAATGATGGGCTTTAATAAGTGTGTGTCAATTACGATAAGTGCGAAAATCCAGTTATCCGATCATCGTATTAGCGCGTTGATTGCTGCCGACATCCATGTGCACGTTGTATATTTTTTTCCTTCTCTCAAATAGAAAGGTCTTGTCCGTGCATTACCTTATTAAAGCACTAAAGCAATAAAGTTATATACTGATCTTTTACTAAATGTAGATATTATTTTTATATTACAGGTATTTCAAATTATCTTTTATTTTGGTATAGATCATTTCCATATTGATATTTTATTTTCATATAGCTAGACATCTTAATTATTGTTTACAGATTTTGATCTTTTTTTCGTATCATTCTGAGACAGATATTGTGTTCATACAAATACATTTGTATCATTTTCGTATTTCATATTCACAGACCATATAAAAATATTTGTAAAAATCTTACTTGAAAAAATCATTTTCCTACAGATTTTATGTTTGCAGAGATCTTATTTTCGTGCAGATATATCAATTCATACAGTAATTTTTTTACAGATCTTATTTTCGTATAGATCACATTTTCAATAGGATCTAATTTTCGTACATATAGTATTTTCATGCAGGTATTTTTTAACATAGCTCATTTTCGTATATTTTTCTTATTTTGGCAAAAATCATATTTTCAATTAGATCTTGTTTTCTTACAAATATCAATTCATACAGGTTTTAATTGGTTTTACAGATCTTATTTTTGTATAGATCATCATGATTTTCAATTGGATCTTATTTTCGTGCAAGTATAAGTATTTTCATACATATATTATTTTCATACAGGTATTATTTACTAAGAGGTCTTATTTTCGTATAACCTTATTTTCGTATGTACATAATTTTCATACTTACAGATCTTATTTTCGTAGAGTACACTATAGCCTAGATTTTATTTTCGAACATATTCTATATACTTATTCTTGTAGTAGTTGTTTCTGTTGTTTTTTTTTCGCACTAGCTAATTCTTGCTTTTATTTTGATGCTTTTTCACTCCACTACCTTTATTTGTTTTATAAGAGAAGATTTACTTTTGCAATTAATACAATTTTATTTTATAAGTTATGATCTTATTTTCGTAGTCGCCATCTTGGGTTATTTTCGTATGCCTTCTTTCTATACTATTTGGGATATTTACCATATTTACCGAACAAACGTTTAATATTTCATTACAAAACATTTCATTCTTTATAATTTCATTCATACAAATCATTTAATAACAACAAAAAAGCATTTTTAATACATTATATTAAAAATAAATCTTATTTTCGTAGACCCGAAATTATTTTCGCTCACACGGCGATTTGAGCTATTTTCGTACGTATGTATTTTCGGCTCAAACTGCACTTTTTTAGATATTTTTTTGGTTCTGAAATTTTAATTTGCTCTATAAAATCATCCAAAGAATGCATAAATATATAACTTACATAAATATTTAAACAGATAAATGCACTATTTCAAAAATAAATCTTATTTTCGTAGCGCGATCTTATTTTCGCGAAAATAGCTTATTTTCGGTATCCATCTATACTTCATAGATAAGACAGACATTTATGAAATTTCAGATTATAAAATTGGTCTGTCATGCCGTTGAAATATTGAGACTAACTGTACAGCTAGCCCAATTTTCTAGCAGTACATGAGCCAGGACACACTGTATTGTCTGGTCATACGGCACTTTTCAATAATAATGATCGACGATCTAACTTAAACTATTTATTATTAAATCATAAATACAACTTTGCATACAAATATACAATGTACTTTGTATCATGCATCTGCCATCACAGTGTTTTTTCACTTTTGGGGGAAGGGGGCCGGTGCCCTTGGGAGGGGGGGGGGGGGAAATGCAATAGGAGGGAATTTATTTACTTTATATTGTTTTTCTTTTCGGTAGAAAAAGGGGGGCAACTTTTGCAACACAAGGTTAAAATACATTGCTTTTTCTTTAATATGCAGATCTTAATTATTGACGCGTCGAATGTTAAACTTGTTGGGAGCGGGAGTAGCTCCCCTTACCTACCCGAGGAACAATTTGAAAACAACTTTGCTGAACAGGAAGTCTTAGTCTTACTGTTATAAAATAAAACATATTTTGGCAGTTAGTTTGCAGGCGAATTTGGGCTACTGTATAGGGGAAATTTCGGCTTTGAGGAGGGAAAAATACATACTATTTTGAGGGGGGAATGGGGCCCAAAAAAATCACTGTTAGGCCATCCTTAAAAAAATGTTCGTTTGCAGTAACGCGACCGACTCACAAAATTTGCCCCTACTCAAAAAATTTTGTCATGGTCTGGTTAAATTTTTTTTTTTGAATCAGAAAATTATGCCTTGTGCTTTGTTTTCGTTCTTTTAAAGGTTAATGGAAGAAATTAAATGTAGGTCTTATTAAATTAGTATTCAGTTATCAATTTATTAATTGTTACCAGATTATCAAGGCATATATTGTCCAGCATTTTGACATTCAATGTTTATTTGGGAGTACAGTTCAAAAAAAAAAAAAAAATCGACCTACATGTACCTACCCACCTTGAAAATTCTGGGTCGGGTTACTGCAAACAAACATTTTTTTAAGGATGGCCTTATATTCAGCAAATAAATAAAAAATTTACAAGTTATATTTGTTGCATGTTCTGTAAAAGTCATATATATCCATGGTGAACAGAAGATACCGAAAAGATGACTTGTTATTTTTTAAATTTTTGCTGTTTTTTTTAAATTACTTGATCATTTCATTTACAATGTTTAAATAATAATGCATGCACAAACTAGTTAAATTTGTCCCTTAAAGAAAAAAGACATATTCAATTTAGCCCATAGATAAGGAGGAGTTTGAACTATACAAAACAACACAGAACAATTAAAAGAATTGAATTGAAAAAAAAACCTTAAATTTTCTTTCAAAATACCTTTCATTTTCAATCAAGGGTCATGATAAGTGACATATAAAAGAACAACGATCAAATAATTTAAAATAAGATATTTGAAAATAATACAGCTTGATTTGTATTAGCAACAACAATCAACTGAAAAATTAATTGATAACCTGAATTTTACTTACAAGACCTTAGTTGCATACTTTCATGAAAATTTTGAAAATATATTTAAAAGTAATTTGAACAAAGAAAGTAATCTATACACTATTTCGCCAGATTTCTACTAACATATACACCATATTTGACAAACACAATAAGGGCTATTTTTTCATATTTTGAACTTGTTTGGGAGGTAATTAATTTCTGTGGATTGTACATGTATACATCAGGAGGCATGCAGCTTTTATGAAACATCATTGAAAGTCATCATAACATACAATGTACATAATGATTACTGGCAACTGTGATAACTATTATGATCCAGAATTACCTGCGATTTGTCTGTAAGTCTGAGAATTTATTTTCATGCTGTCGTTATTAAATGTAAACATGTGTTAAGTTGAATATTTGATTTATTTAATTGTAAAAGATAAAAGATCTTTGATTAAATAATGTTCAGTACTATCCACCATTTATAACCATGGTAACTCCACAGTTGTGCAGGTCATAAAAAAGGACACACATTGAAATCAGAATGATAATATATCAAAGTGCCTGATAAACATGGATCTTGTCAAAAATGCACATTAACTTGATGTAAAGAATGAAAATGTCTTGCTTAGATTTTATGTCATTTGAAAGTTTGATTCTTGTGTAACCAGTTTTCATTGGTTTGTAATATACATATTATTGGAAAACATCCATATCATGTCAGGAAAACAGCACTTATAAACATTTTGTCAACAGTTCATTTTACTTACTATATTTGTTTGTAAACATTCCATGTTCAACATATATAATATTATTATAGTTACGCAAAGAAAAGTTTTCAAGTGGCACAAATGTTTTTCTGGCCATGTTGAAGATGGTGCAAAATTTTAGCTGGTTCACATCAGATGAATTACATTTAAACATCCTCTTATACTGAGGCACTTGAAAAAGACAAAATTAATACGCTTCTGTGTGTAGCATGGCTGAAATACTTGTGGCATTTTTTTTTACAAAATCTAAACTGAATATGTGTATACATTGAATTATACATGCATCTTAGTTTCAGATTTTATTCATCTAAACATAATTCTTAAATGAAAAAAAATTTGGTAGAATCTTTGTCGCAGGAAAGATTTGTGATTTACATGCTTGCAAATCTAGGAATAGGTAGCTAAGGTAAACAATGAAAATTATTATACCCCCGCACAACAAAGTTGTAAGGGGGGTATACTGGAATCAGCTTGTCCGTCCATCCGTCCGGCTGTCTGGCCGTCCATCGGTTTTTCTTGTCCGCCCAATAACTTAGATTCCTTTGACCCTTCATATTTGGCATTGAGGTTAGTCATGATTAGTAGATGACCCCTATTGATTTTGAGGTCACCAGGTCAAAGGTCAAGGTCACAGGGGCCTTGACTTCAAAAAGCTTGTCCGCCCTTTAACTTGAGATTCCTTTGACCCACAGTCTTCATATTTGGCATGGAGGCTAGTCATGATAAGTAGATGACCCCTATTGACTTTGGGGTCACCAGGTCAAAGGTCAAGGTCATAGGGGCCTTGACTTCAAAAAGGTTGTCCGCCCAATAACTTAAGATTCCTTTGACCCACAGTCTTCATATTTGGCATGGAGGTTAGTCATGATTAGTAGATGACACCTATTGACTTTGAGGTCACCAGCTCAAAGGTCAAGGTCACAGGGGCCTTGACTTCAAAAAGCTTGTCCGCCCAATAACATAAGATTCCTTTGACCCACACTCTTCATATTTGGAATGGAGGTTAGTCATGATTAGTAGATGACCCCTATTGATTTTGAGGTCACCAGGTCAAAGGTCAAGGTCACAGGGACTTTGACTTCAAAAAGTTTGTCTGCCCAATAACTTAAGATTCCTTTGACCCACAGTCTTCATATTTGGCATGGATGTTGATCATGATTAGTAGATGACCCCTTTTGATTTTGAGGTCACTGGATCAAAGGTCAAGGTCATAGGGACTTTGACTTCAAAAAGTTTGTCCACCCATTAACTTACGATTCCTTTGACCTACAGTCTTCATATTTGGCATGGATGTTGATCATGACTATCAGGTGACCCCTATTTATTTTGAGGTCACTGGGTCAAAGGTCAAGGTCACAGGGAGCTTGACAAAAAAAACACTTTTCTTCTCAATTGCTAAAGAATGTCCTGTCCGCAATGTATTGATTTTGACATTTTCACATTTGAAGCATGTAGAATACATAACTTAGCAATGCACTGGCTTAGTAACCTCAGATTTGGCAGGGAGGTTGTTCTTGAGCTCTAAATGGCCACTGTTGATTTTGACAAAATGGCATTATGCAAAATGGTATGCGGGGGTATTCACGCCATGATAGTGGCAGTTCTAGTTAATTTTATATTTGTGCATGATTTTGTTTTTTCCAACATCAAATTTTATCATGATGATGCTATTATTTGAATGAATAAATGATAAAGAATATCTTAATAATATTTTGCCCACAATCAAACAATAAGTGTCGAGTGATAGGTTTGAGTTGTAACAAATGGAGAGCTACATAACAGTGATTTTTCTCGCTTCATTGAGATTTTGATTTTGGGAAAAATCGCTAAAACTGCTAATTTGGGAAGAAAAAAGCAGGTTTAAGTTCAGATTTTTGGGATACTGCATGATTTTAAAGAAAATTTCAATTGGGAAGAGGCCCTTTTTTCGGAGTCTGTTATATAAGTATGAAAATCACTGTATAATGACTCCTGGTGATATGAGACAATTTAGTCGGTGGGTTCATAAGCAACAAACTTGTATTGTGCACAGATACATTTTAAGTGCGTATTTGTTGTTTCTGCGGATGACATCACTACATTATTTTGTATTTATTATTTTATTTTAGATATAAGATGTATAATCTGATAGAAGACAGTGCCTCATTACAGAAAGCTGTAGTTACCGTGCTTGTGTCATTTTCTGGTTTGTGGATCATCCATACATGCTGGAAAAATAGGAATATCAGGGAAAAGATTAGAAATAAACAAAGAGAATGCAGAGATTCTCTAAACAAATTGGAAGGATATATTAAGGAAAATGGAGTAAGAATTTTACCTGAAATTAAAGTTTATACTTACATGTATCCTCAGATTTTTATGAGGATGATCCAAAATTATGTAGACCTTTGCTGTTGCCAAGATACAGGTGGTTTAGATTTAAAAAAAAACCACTCAGTGCAACATTCTGTCTGAACAAAACCATCCAGTCCAACAGAAACAAGTGTTAATTTAACATGAGTATAAAATGTCTAGTTTTTATTTTACACAGTTGACTAAGCGGAGACAAGAAGACATATTGAAACTGAAGTTTACTGAACTTCTCTCTAAACTACAAAGAGGTCAGCTCACATCATCTGATACATTAAAAGCTTACCAAGCAAAGGTATTATATTGTTATATTGTTATAATTATATGCATGGAGAATAATCTTCAATTATGCTGAATATATAAAATGTGTAAGAGAAAAAGAGTATTTCAGAAATAATCACAAGCTTTATTTTTATAGCACTTTCAATGCTTATGAATATATAATATATGTGTGATTTTTGGTAGTCCAGTTATGTATGTACATGCATATAGCCTTTATACTGTGTGTAGGCCTATTGAAAGATATTGTAATCACAATTAGATATAATAAATGAGATAGCTGAAAGATAAAAATATCTGTTTACTATCTATATTTTCATTATAGATGATATATTTCATACCAAAGACCCAGTTATCTCCCATATGATACAATGAACTTTTGGCTCACAGTAAAAGGCAATTATTCTTTTTACATGAATAGTTAAATAATGTTACCTCAATATTTCTTGCACACTTGTCATTTTTACCTGGACTATTCAAAGAATAAAGAGAGCTATTGTGCTCATCCAGGCTTCGACATTGATGTGTGTATCACTTTTTGGATAAGGTTTTGCGTGCAAGTTGGAACCTCCAAAACTACTAAATGGAATGAGTTGTTACTTCACATACTTATCTAATATAACATTTAACCATTATACAATAGAGGGTCCAAAGCCCATAACACTTATGAAGATTTTAACAGTATTATGGCCTGTTTCGAACTTCTACATTACTTAGGCTGTTAATTCTACATTAAGCAGGCTCTAGTTTTACTATCAAGCAGCATGCTGTCCTACAGAAAGCTTTTTCCATATTGATGAAACTATTATTATCAACAAATCTTAGACCGCCTCTGTGGTCGAGGGGTTAGAGTCGATGACTTCTAATCCAGTTACCTCTCTGGCGTGGGTTCGATCCCCGGGAGATGCTTTGGTAGTTTAGTGCGGAGGAAGGTTGTCTAGTACTGGTGTAACTCTCCAGGAACGATGGATAGGAAACTACCCGCCTATATGACTGAAATATTGTTGGAAAAAGGCGTAAAATGAAACAAACAAACAAACAATCAACAAATCTTAAAAAGATATTTTTTTGTTTGAGTGAAATATGGAATATATTTTCACTAAACATGATAAAATGCCACATATTTTCACGAGCTGGGAAGGTGAGCGAAAATCTTAGGCATTCTATCATGTTGAGTAAAAAATATATACCATATTTCACGAAAAAGGAAAAAAACAAACTTTTTATTTAATTTCATTATCAAAGAAAAATGGTTATGAATCCCTTGCTTGCTTTTCAAATGCATTTGTACAGCGCGCAGTAATATATAGATGCGTCTTGTTTTGCCTGTGTTTGCATGCCCTGTTTGGAACTTCATTGTGACATCACATAAACAACTCTTTAAATGTCTGTTCAGTGTTAATGACTGCATTCAAGATATTGGTGTTCGGATTTATTTTCTTAGTTAGACTATTTTCTATCATTGTAGATAGTTTTCAAAACAAAATTCAACAAAAAATTGTTTTTATTTGTCAGATTTTTTAATCAAAATCCTAAAATGAATATGAAATTTGACTCCGCCCACTTACATATTTATATTTCATATTTATTTTTTTACAAATATGACATATATTTGACTGATATATAGCACCATATTTCATGAGTAAATTAAATAAACATGTATATTCATTAGAACTGAGAAACATTCTTGTATGAGTTGGATTATTGTTTATACAATACAGTAGAAACCACCCCAGGATTAAGACCACCCTTTTAAAAAGACTATATTTTAAAAGAATGGAATGAAAAAAAAAAAAACCAGAATATGATTCAGAATTAAGACCACCCTGCTTATCAGTTATCCACTTTTATCCAGGATCACATGTTTATTAGTCCCCTACCGGTTTACCGGAGGGGACTTTAGGTTTACCCTCCGTCCGTCTGTCTGTCTGTCCGTCCGTCAGTCCGTCCGTCCACAAAACTGGATCCCGCGATTACGCAAAAAGTACTGAAAATATTTTAGTGAAACTTGATATATGGATAGATGGCAGTATGAAGATTATGCACGTCTTTTTCTTTTCTTCTTATGTTGAAAATTCTGGTTGCTATAGCAACAAATAGACTGAAAATATGGCAAATTTTACACATAACCTGGATCCCGTGATAACGCAAAAAGTACTGAAAATATTTTTATGAAACTTGATATATGGATAGATGGCAGTATGGAGATTATGCACGTCTTTTTCCTTTCTTCCTATGTTGAAAATTCTGGTTGCTATGGCAACAAATAGACTGAAAATATGGCAAATTTTACACATAACCTGGATCCAGTGATAACGCAAAAAGTACTGAAAATATTTTTATGAAACTTGACATATGGGTAGGTGGCAGTATGGAAATTATGCACATCCTTTTCTTAACTTCCTATGTTGAAAAGTCTGGTTGCTATGGCAACAAATAGACTGAATTTCAAGATTTCTGATTCTAGTTTTTAAGTTTTTTCACTATAAATACTTTATTTCTTAAGGTATTTTCTTCAAACTTTAAATATAAGTTGCTTGTCATCAACCACATCATATGTGACAAGGTTTACAATTCTAGCACAAAATTTATCAGAATTACCTCCCTTGAACATAAATTTTTTATGAAAAAAACATTGTTTTTTTTAATAACTTCTTTTTCTGAATGTATCTACTTCAAACTTCATATAAATGTTTCTTATTATCACTCAACATTTGTGAGTGTTCAATACTGCCAGAAGTATGCCCCTTTTGAACTTAGACTTTTTTTTGAGAAATTGGTAATTTTTACTCCAACTTCTTCAATCATGATAGGATTTTAAAAATGTTATATTTTGATAACAGGGATGTTTAAAAAATAACTTTAGAGTGTCCTTCAGTCCGTCTGTCTGTCTGTACATAAAAACTGTTTCCTGTGATCACTTTTAAAGAACTTTTTCAACAAATTTATTTAAATAGGAACATAAGTGAATGGCCAATGGCCCTTCAGAATGTTGCTTGGGCTCTTACCGGTAGGGGACTTATGGATTGCTTGCAATACTATGATAATTGCTTGTTGTTACTAGTTTTATCTGATTGAATGCTCTTAGGTATGACACTTGATGTAACAAGGTGTCAAAACTGATGCGGTTGGTATATGTATGTAAAACTTTAATTTTGTTTCTTATTTTAGTTATGTTTTAGTAGACAATGAAATTTGTTCTCTTTCAGGCCATTGAAAAGAACAGAGATCTAAACTTCATTGTTGAACCAATTTGGGAAGCCATTGTAAGTGTTTTAATGCTGTTATTTATTTGAGTGAACTTATTTACATACATTAAGTGTCAGACTAGTAATCTAAGGATTGCTGGCTGAGTGGACCCTGTCAGAGGCAATCCTTTGTTTCCTTGAGCTCATTGCTTAGTACTGGTAGGTTCCAGGAATGGATTTGAAAGTTTTTCAATAAGCTTATAGCTTCAAACACAAACTAAAATACATAAGGGCATATATTGCCCCTCCTTTGTGGTGCTCTTGTTTTCCAATTGTTTCGTAAGAATATGCTGGATAATATTCCTATTCATGATAGTGTTATTTTGGTTCTAGAGGTTGAACTGAATAATATTTACAGCAAGTCTACATTATTTTTAGCTCACCTGTCACAAAGTGACAAGGTGAGCTTTTGTGATCGCTTTTCGTCAGTCTTCTGTTCACCGTCCATCCGTAAACTTTTACTTTAAAGGACATCTCATAAACAGCTAAGCCAATCTCATCCAAACTTCGCAGGAACGTTTCTTTGTTAGTCAACTTTAAAAATTGTTCAAAGAATTTAATTCAAAGCATAACTTTGGTTGCCATGGCAACCAAAAAAAACAACCTCTTTTTCAAAAACAAAAAGAGCTAGAGCTTAAATATTTGGCATGAAACATCATCAAATCAGTGTCTACGAAGTTTGTTCAAGTAAATACTCTGTGGTCAAAATTGGCCCCGTCCTGGGAGTCATTGATTTTCCTTATTTGTATATTGTAAAACCTTAAATAATCTTCTTTTTAAAAACCCAAATAGCAAGAGCTTAGATATTAAGCATGAAACCTCTTCTATCTAGTGGTTGTCTACCAAGTTTGTTCAAATAAAAGCCCTAGAGTAAAAATTGGCCCCGCCCCAGGGTGTCATTGTTTTTCCCTTTATGTATATAGTAAAAACTTTAAAAATCTTCTTTTAAAAACCCAAAGAGCTGTAGTTTAGATACTAAGCATGAAATATCTTCTAGTGAGTGTCTACCAAGTTTGTTCAAGCAAAAGCCCTGGGGTCAAAATTGGCCTCCTACATTGGGGGTCTATGTATTTAGTAAAACCTTAAAAAATCTTCGTATAAAAACCCCAAACAGCTAGAGCGTAGATATTTATCATGAAACATTTTGTAATGGGTGTCTGCCAAGTTTGTTCAAACAAAAACCCCTGATTTAAAATTGGCTTTGGTCCAGGGGCCTATATACAGGTGAGTGATTTCAGGGCCATCATGGTTTGTTTATCATATCCCTGGTATGTTGTAGGGTTGAAACAATACAGCAAAAACTATATTGCAATATATTGCCATTTTGCTGAAGCGTATTGCAATATATTGCAATACGTATTGTCGTGTATATGTTTTGATGTAAAGATGGAGTAACATTTATATATTATTATTATATGTATATATTTTTAGTAGAAACTTAATAAAAATGTAAGGAATAAATAGAAAGTAGTGTCACACAATTTGATCAACAAAACTAGTCGCGTGTGACCTTTCACATCTGGGCCGCTTATGTAAATTATGCGGCCGCTTATTGACTTTCAAGTGTACTAGTTGTCGGATACTTTTATCTTACGTTGGCGCAAACAAAATTTGCCAATTAAAGATTTTATGTGAATTTGTACAAAATTAGAAGGCAATTAATTGAAAATGATGATTTTTATAAAATACCGGTTTTCCAAAAATCGTACCGCAGTTCGAAATTTATTTTTTCATATTGCAATATATCGGTATACCGGTAAACCGTTACACCCTTAGTATGTTGTATATGTGTAGACATAACCTCGAACCATTGTTTATGTTTAACCATATAATAATTATATAGCCAAATACTTTTATCTGTTGGTATGTAGTAAAAGTGAAGTGATATACTCTTGCCATTATTTCTGCACTAAATGTGTAGCCATACAATCTAGCCATTGTTTATGTAGTAAATGTGTAGCAATATACCATTCTTATGCTCCCCGAAAAATTTTGGAGGGAGCAAATAGTCGCTGCCTTGTCCGTCCGTCTGTCCATCCGTCTGCTTTTCTTGTCCGGGACATAACTAAAACAACAAGAGGTATCAACATGAAACTTTGTAGGTAGATAGATCTCATTGAGTAGGTGTGCAGTGCACAGGAACCTTAACTCTGCCTTGCCTATATTTTGAATTATTGCCTTTTGTTTGTTTTTACACTTTGAACTTTGTCCGGGACATATCTCTTAAAGTATAAGAGGTATCAACATGAAACTTTGTAGGTAGATTGATCTCATTTAGTAGGTGTGAAGTGCACAAGAACCGTAGCTCTGCCTTGCCTAATTTTTGCCCTTTGTTTATTATTACACTTTGAACTTTGTCCGGGACATAACTCTAAAACTGTATTGACATAACTCTAAAACTGTATTGGACCCAACGTCAAAAATAGTCTGACACTGCCATATATGGTACTGTATTTGACACTTACATGATACGAAAATTTCTATTTGTTTATGTGTATTTGTGCTACAAGATTTGAATGTATTTTAGGGAGAAAATTTATAGGTATGTAATAAATAGCCATATACAAATTCACTAGGCCTTGCTGCATTATGGCAAAATTGAAACAAAAAAAGATCTACTTCTTTCCTACTACTGCAAAATGATTATTATTATATCCCCAAAAACGAAGTTTGGGGGGTATATAGGAGTCACCCGGTGGTCGGTTGGTTGGTCAGTCCAGACGTCCTTTGCATTTTCCTTGTCCGGAGCATAACTTGAAGACTAATGGTTGAAATTCAATACAACTTCATACAGTTGTCAAGGACATTAAAAGGAAATGCAGTGCAAAAGAGCCATAACTCCATTTTGACAAAATACAGAGTTACTGCCCTATGATACTTTTCCTTGTCTGAAGCATAACTTAAAACGTACTGGTTCAAAACAACTTCATACAATGGTCAAGCACAATAATAGGAAGTGCAGTGCACAAGAACTATAACTCCATCTTCTGTATTAATAGAGTTATTGCCCTTTAATCCTTTTCTTTGTCTTTCTGGACTTATTACAGAGTAATTCAATAAAACTTCATCAATGGCCACATTGAAAGGAAATGCAACATACAAGAACCATAACTATCTTTAATTGGCCACAACCATAACTCTATATTTCAATTCTTTTACAAGGTATTCTGTTACTAGTAATATCCTCATTTGCGAAGCAGTCTTGTGGGGGTATTTATCACATTTAGTGATAGATCTAGGTAGTGGTGAACTAATTTTCGTTGTTTTTTCGTGGATATATCTTTTCACGAATTTAAGAACCCAACGAAATTCCATTTTGTTAGTTTTAAGATTATTTTGCATCACATTATTTACATTTTACCCTTTTAAAAAAAAAAACAGTCCACAAATTTAAGAACCAACAAAAATGTTCATTGTGACAAAACCATTAAATTTCATGCCCACGAAATTCAGTGAATTCACAGTATTTAGTGTGTCATAGAATTGTTTGCACAAATGTAATCATGTTAGCTTGACAATTGAAAGAATAGGGAGAGCTATTGTACTCATTCAGGTGTATAGTAGCCATCACACTTCTGTTAAGTTTTTGTGTGCATGTTGGTATCTCAAAATCTACTGAAATGAATGTGTTGAAACTTCACACACTTATTTGAGACCATAATAATAGGTCTTTTTCAAAGGAAAATAACTCTTAACTTGGATTTCACTGATATGTAGTCCTGTTTGGATTTAGAAAATTCTACATTATCCAGGTATTTGACTGAGAATAGTAAAGCTATCTGTCCTATAGACAGGTCTTGTGATTAATTTGAATCTGTATATTACAGCCTTTAGCTGAAGATTGTGATACTCAGAAGAAGAGATTGCCATTACATGGTATTCCAGTCAGTATTAAAGAAAACTATTTTTTAAAGGTAATATTTTAGTAAGACATATATTTTGTTGAAGCGAATCATCTCTTTGTATAAACAAAGAAATTATTTAAATAGTTCACAAATTTATGAGTTTATGTAAAAATGCAGTTCTTCTTAGGCTAGATACATTTACCAACTTTTGTCAAGAAATATCAAATTATCACCATATGTGCAGTAATGGGTTAACTCCTTATATATGGAATAAGAGTTAAACTGTTACTGCACTAAGGTGACAAAATGCTAAAATATTAAATTTTGTACAGATAATTAGGTTTTTTTATTCAAACTTACATGAAGGAAGAATAAAAGTATCCCATAATTAAAAAAGTGAAGTTGAACCACTTGTTTCTCCTCAGAAACTAAAATGGCTAGAGCTTAGATTTTTGGCTTGAAGCATCATGTAGTGGACGTCATGGGTTTTCCTTATCTGTTTTTAGTAAATTCTTAAGTAAATTCTTTAAAAACCATCTCCTCTGAATCCATAAAGGTTCAGGCTTCAATATTTGGCATGAAACATCATTAAGTATGCCTGTACCAATATTGTTCAAACAAGAGACTTGGGGTTAAAATTAGCCCTACCCATTGGAGTCTCTTTCTTTTATGTATATATCAAATGCTTTAAAAAATTTCTTGAAACCATAAAGGCTAGAGCTGAGATACTTGGCATGAAAGATTGTGTAGTGGACCACCTGGGATTAAATTGGCCCTGTTTTGAGGGGTCATGGGTTAACCTTATATGTATATTAAAGAAAAATCTTAGAAATAATCTTTTCTAGGCTAAAGCTGAGATATTTTGCACAAAACAGGTAGTGAACCACTACCATACTTATTTAAATAATAGATCTGGGGTCAAAATTTGCCGTTCCCAGGTCCAGGTGGTCTTTGGTTTTCCTTATAAATTATGGTTACAGTAAAATCTTTAAAAATCATCTCCTCTTAAGCCAAACAGATTAGATCTTAGATATTTGGCGTAAAGCTTTTGTAGCAGACATTATGCCAAAAAATATGCAGCTTGGGTAAAAAATGACAAACCCAATGTGAGCCATTAGTACGGACTTTATCATTGAAAAATAAAATTTGTGACCTTTTATATCCTTTTTGTATCTTCAGTGAACACATCAGGGCTATCATAGCCCTCTTGTTTTAAGAAGGATAAGGGATCATTTAATTAGGGAAATTTTTCAGACACTACTCTTTAAGTTTAGGTAGTTAATTGATATGATTTTTATTAAGATGCAAACAAATATAATACTTATTAAAGGCAGCAAAGTTTAGCTTTATACCCCTAAAAACATAATGTAATGAAATGTATTATGACCTTAAAACTTGAAGTATATTTTAAGAAATTTGACTGTACTGGTGGAATGAGCCCTATGATAGGAAAACCTGCTAAAGAAGATGGTGTACTTGTAAAGGTATTAAAACATGTTGGCGCTGTGCCGTTTGTGCGAACAAATATTCCACAGACCATGATGACGTAAGCTTTTCAAAATTGTATACAAATTATACCTTATATTTTCTACAAAGAAATGCTATAATATTTTAAATTGAATGCCAGTCAGAAAATAAGTGCATGTATCTGAAAAATATTAAGGTATTGTCAAGTTTTAACTTGTATTTTGGTGTGTATTTTCCCAAAGTATTATAAGATTTATTGTCCAAAAATTGTTTACCAAGTAAATTTTTATCAAGAATTACAATGGGATGAAACCATAAATATTTTTTTCAAATTTTCAATTTTGATAATATTTTAGGAATCATAACCTCTGAACTGAATGTACCCCACCACAAAATATGTCTTCATATAGCCTATTGAATATTAATCTGGGCACCACACTGAGACATGTAGATTTTTCCCGATGTGGCTTATGCAATAACTCAATTCATAATAACTTAAAACATTCAATGGAAATGTTTTTATGCTCCTCGAAAAATTTCGGGGGAGCATATAGTTGCCGGGTTGTCTGTCAGCCCGTACAAATCCGGAGGTACTTGTGTGACTTGGAGAACAATGGGTAACAGTAAATTCTCTTTGATCCTATTCATTCCGTTTTTACTTGTGTGTCTTTTTTTAAGCCTTGTGTGACTAAAAATGGCCAAAAAGATCAAAGGAAAAGTCACATAAGTACCATTTTGTGAGTCCGTCCGTCAGTCCGTTCGTACAAACGTATGTCCCAAATTTGTGTCCGGCCCATAACTTTGTTATTTGAAGTCGGATTTTACAACTATTTCACAGAAATGATCACCATATTGAGACAATGTTTCGCATGTAACATTAGGGCACTACCTTGAAGGTCAAGGTCACAGCATGATCTTGAAGCAAAATTGTGTCCGGCCCATAACTTTGTTATTTGAAGTCCGATTTTACAACTATTTCACAGAAATGATCAACATATTGAGATGATGTGTCGTGCGCAAGACTGTAGATAAATCTTATGTCCGTGCTCTGTCTTTGCCCTGTTCTGTTTTTGATTGGGGTCCGCCTGGGCTCCTTGCCATGGGCACTTGTTGCTGGGTCATATGGGGGTTGCGTTCATTGAACGCCGCCTTTCCTTGTTGATCATGTTTATCATATTTTATTAAGTAGAAGTGCAGTGCAAATAACAGTAACTCTGCATTGCCTAAGTTTGGAATTATCACACTTTGAACTTTGTCTGGGACATTACTCTGAAACTACAAAAGATATACTTTCCTATGTCCAAATCCTAGTCTGGGAGCATCACTCAGTTCAACCGGCTCTTGTTTCATATAGAGTCAGTATAAAATATTCTAATGCAAAAAGAGAATCAAGAGGAAGTATTTATTACAGATGTGAATGTTCAAACCCTATCTATGGAACAACTGTAAATCCGCATAACTTAAAGCGTGGACCAGGTGGATCATCAGGGGGTGAAGCATGTATTTTAGGGGCAGAGGCTTCTATTTTAGGGTGGGGAAGCGATATAGGTGGCAGTCTTAGAATTCCAAGTCATTTCTGTGGTACTTCTTGTTTAAAACCAACATCTGGAAGGTTAAGGTATTCATAATTTTATTGTTTGTTCAGTTAATATCCTTTCCATACATTGCTTCAGGTATCTTCTATGAAAGGGCACATTAGTAATTCCACTGATCTTCCAAAATCTAAGTTTCTAATTTGGAATGTTTCTCATTATAATAAACTGTATTTATATCATTTTTTTTATAAAAGTTGTTTTAATTAAGAATTGAAAAGGGCCTGATTTATATTACAGTTTGAAGTCATCAGAAGAACTTGATGGTGGCAATATGCAGACTCTAAGTAAGTTTTGTATTCTTTATATAAACTATCTGGATAGCATATTTCACATCTACAGACTTCTTGCTTAGCCTCTGTAGTTTAATTTTTAGTCTTTTACAGTTATAAAAGAACAATCTACTGAGAAATAAAGTTATTTTGTTGAAAAATGAAGTGATTTTATTGATTGTCAAATGAAGTCAATCACAGAAGTATATATAATATATTCTAAATTTCAGACTTATGATATAGATGAGTTATCCAGAAATAGATGCCTTGTTTTCTAGCCTTTTGCTAAATCAGTTTAATGATAAAATTACTATTTAATCATTCAAGCACTTAAACTAATCAAAAATGAAACTACAGTAACTTATTTAGGTGTTGACTTTGTATAAAATATTCTTGGGCATGTTGTTCTTTTTGATCTTCTGTGTCTGGAAAATTTAAAACTGATCAATAGAGTTTCTTTTAACTTGGCATGATGAGAAAATAATAATATCTGTCATATGTTGCGGTTCGGACCGGAATATCCGTCCCGAGGGGACCCGCCCATTGGGCGGGTTCCAAAGGGACGGATATTCCGATCCGAACCGCAGACATGAAAGATATTTTTTCTTGCATATTCTGCCATATTATTTCATATTTAAAATGGTTTACCTCAATATGATATATGTTCATGGAAATTAAAGTCATTTCATCCATAACTATTTTCTTACATTAGCGTATGAACTTACAACTTAAATAACAACGGCGAAATGACGTCATCCTAAGACATATTTCCCTTCTAAAACGACGTCATTTTAACGCGATTCATTCATAAATGGCGCTAAAATGACGTTGTTGTTTGGCACGCGACTCATCTGGCACCCCCCATGCCAGATGAAATTTCCGGCATGGGTAAAACTCACGGAAACGCCAGTCTGCTATGCAAGAAATATTTCTGCATCACACAGACCAAATATGGAAAATTCTTGCTTACACTCTAGAGGTTCCTTTTTTAGCCCAAATATCCTGGAAATTGGTGAGAAAATTGTTAAGATGATTTCTAGTTCAAGTTTGAATATTTGTTATCACAAATATGCTCAAATATGGAAAGCTCTTGTTAACACTCAAGAGGCAATATTTTCAGTCAAAATGTTCATGAAATTGGTCAGTAAAGTTGTTATGTAAAAACCTTGCACTATTTCAAATGCTGATATGAATGCTGGTATCATTTTGAGATTGAGACACTATATCTTCTTTTCATTGGGGTAACTAAGCTTAGGAAAATACATTTATGTTTTCCTTTGTGAAACTACAATGCCAAGAGCTTAGAAATTAAATTTTGTCCTCAAGACTAATAAAAAGCAGAAATTAACAAATATTTAAAAAAGTTATGATGCTTTGGTAAAAATTGACAAACACAATGTGACCTCATTACTGTAATGGTGACCTTTCCTAGCAATATATTATATTATAATAAATCTCAGGTGAGTGGTCCAGTTGCTTGTGTTTCTACCCTTCATAGACAATCATTTTGTAGCAGTATTAGGCCACAAGTGAATATACTGGGTGCACATTTTTGGATTAATTCATTTGGTAAAACAAACATCCAAATATATTATATAGTTAAGTACAGATCTAGATATGCTTGAGTAAAAGTTTTATCACATGATATTAACATGTACTATTTGGTTATGAAATTTGATTTATCCTTTAGTTAGAGCAACTCCTGGACCAATGGCTAGAGATGTTGATACATTAGTAACAGCAATGAAGGCAGTTCTGTGTCCTTATCATTTTGAGCTGGACCCTGATGTACCTCCATTACCATTTAATACTGAGGTAACACTACACTTATGTTTTATATTGAGTAATTGAAATTGGTTAAAACTGAGGTAAAAGTACTAATGTTGTGTTATTCTGTGATAAAGAAAATGAAATATTTAGTTGAAACTGCTATGATAATTAACTGATTTTTTTTTATGAATTGGTCTTTAATGGAAGGTCTGTAATTCGATAAGTTATTATCTTGTTGGTATACAAAATTACAATTTTTACAATATTTACCTCCCTTGCCAACAATGGCACTCAATATTCTATATTTTATTATTGACAAAATATGAAAAAAACAATAGAAACAGTTAATAGAAGTGAATTGTCAAATTTGTTTATATATAGGGAATATATTACTAGTATAACACCAATATGTTAAAGGTTTTGATTAGTTATTGGTGAAGATAATTGTGAGAGATTTTTGTCTCACCTTTAAAGTGATAATACTTGTCAAACTAAATGCAAATGTAAACCCTTTAAAGGGTATAAATCTATCTTTTGAAATATTTTAATAAAATTTATCATCTGTAATATTATATCGGTTCCATTATTATATGGTTGATTCCCGAAAAAGTTGTAACATGGAATGTCTCTCTTATTTAACACACAGTAATGTACGGAAACAGAATAAAATGTTTGGAACAAAATATTTTGTTATTTTAAGTAGGGTTTTATCCATTCAGCAATGATTTTGTGTATGCTCCATTTTCTTTTAAAGCAATAAATTACATTTTCACAAGAATATACAAGTGATACATTTATATTTATTTATCAATATTTGAAATACTAATCTCTTATGAAATGCCAACTCTAGACCAATCCACTTTAAATACTGAGGTAATGGATTAAATTGTGTTTACCTTAATTGTACATATCACAAGGATAAAAGTGATACAGTCATGTGAAGAAGTCATTTTGTTAGCAATGACAATTGGTATTTAAATTTGTTGTCACAAAGGCACAAATGTTGTTTCCTTGATAACATATGTGTATTGTCTTCCTAAAGTCATATGAAAATTTGTAGCTTTTTCTGACTTATTGAAAGGTTTGTGTGTATATATATATATATATATATATATTATCAAAATATATGCAATGATAATATGAAGGTAATATTTATTAGTTACAGTAGTTTTAGTTTATTGTCCCCCGCCTTTTCGAAGAAAAAAGGGGGATATAGAAATAGGCTCCGTCCGTCTGTCCGTCCGTCTGTCCGTCCGTCACACTTTCGTGTCCGGTCCATAACTTTGTCATTTATGAAAGGAATTTGAAATAACTTGGCACAAATGTTTATTATAATAAGACGATGTGTCATGCGCAACAACCAGACCCCTACCTCCAGGGTCAAGGTCACACTTGCTCATTCAAGGTCAAAATTGCCTATTTGAGGGTATATGTCGTGTCCGGTCCATAACTTTCTTATCTATGAAGGGATTTTGTAAATACTTGCCATAATTGTTCACAATAATCAGACGATGTGTCATGCGCAAAAACCAGTCACCTACCTTCAAGGTCAAGGTCACACTTTGAGGTCAAATATTAACATAGTCTGTTACAGGGTATATTTCGTGTCCGGTCCATAACTTTCTTATCTATGAAGGGATTTTGTAAATACTTGCCATAATTGTTCACAATTATCAGACGATGTGTCATGCGGAAAAAAGCAGTCACCTACCTTCAAGGTCAAGGTCACACTTGGAGGTCAAATATTAACATAGTCTGTTACAGGGTATATTTCGTGTCCGGTCCATAACTTTCTTATCTATGAAGGGTTTTTGTAAATACTTGCCATAATTGTTCATAATAATCAGACGATGTGTCATGCGCAAAAACCAGTCACCTACCTTCAATGTCAAGGTCACACTTGGAGGTCAAATATTAACATAGTCTGTTACAGGGTATATTTCGTGTCCGGTCCATAACTTTGTCATTTATCAAAGGAATCTGAGATAACTTGGCACAAATGTTTGTTATAATAAGACGATGTGTCATGCGCAACAACCAGACCCGTACCTTCAGGGTCAAGGTCACACTTGCTCATTCAAGGTCAACATTGTGTATTTGAGGGTATATGTCGTGTCCAGTCCATAACTTTCTTATCTATGAAGGACTTTTGTAAATACTTGCCATAATTGTTAACAATAATCAGATGATGTGTCATGCGCAAAAACCGGTCACCTACCTCCAAGGTCAAGGTCACACTTGGAGGTCAAATACTTACATAGTCTGTTACAGGGTATATTTTGTGTCAGGTCTATAATTTTTTCATTTAGATCAAAGGATTGTGAAAATACTTTGCACAAATAGTCACTATAATAAGAGGATGTGTCATGCGCAACACCTGCATCCCTACCTCCAAGGTCAAGGTCACACTTAGAGGTCAAAAATTAAACATAGTCTGTTATAGGGTATATTTTGTGTTGAATTTAGAACTTCTTCATAGTTCAAGGATTTTGAAATAACTTGGCACAAATAGTCACAATAATAAGACGTTATGTCATGCACAACACCTGCTCCCCTACCTCCAAGGTCAAGTTCACACTTAGAGGTCAAAGCTTAACATGATAGATTTTTAAATTCCGTGTTTCATTTTATTTTTTTTAACAAATTATTGTTACATTTGCAGATCTAGCATTGATCATAATTTTGGACTGAATGTCCTGAGATCCATACCTCAATCTTTTGAAATAGCAAAATTTTATGCTTCATATAAAACTCCCGGGGCGGGGGACGTTGGTAACTCTGTTACAAATTCTTGTTAATATTTACTGTAGTGATATATTTTAGGTATACGAGTCAAAGAGGAAGCTACGTATAGGATATTATACATATGATGGCTATGTCCCATGTATACCTAGTGTAGAGAGAGGTGTTCTAGAAGCTAAATCTGCGCTAGAGAGTATGGGTCACACTGTATGTTTATCTTCCTATTTTTAGCTAAACTAATCTAAGAAAAAGTAAAGCTATTTTACTTACCATGATATGAGCAACACCATCACACTTTGGTTAAGTTTTTGTATGCAGTTGGTATCTCCAAATCTACTGAAGGGAATGGGTTGAAACTTCACACACTTGTTCTCTGTTATTATTAAACATTATAGGCACATGAAGTCTCCTTTCTGAGTTACCTGTTGAAAGACTGGGACATGTAGGCAGACAGGCAGATAGATGGGCACAAACAATTTCTGCTATGCATAAGTTCTCCTACATTTTTCAAGGGATTTTGACCAAACTTTCATACCTTATTAATATTCATCTATATATTTAACATGTCAAAAATCAACATGCAATATTTGCCACCACCCCACCACATCCACCACCACAAACAAAGTTTAAAAAGTAAAAAAGTGTTTAAATGGCAAAATACTGACAATATTCACCAGGGCACTTGATAATGAAGCTTTAGTGAAAAAGTGTTGAAAAACTGATTTTGTCTCTTTAACATGTTTTTTTTATGCTCCTTTTTACTGTGAAGCCCTGAGAATAGTCAAGTGCATTGTCTTATATTTTAAATATATATATCCATATGTTGTTGTCTTCTGATGTGTAAATATTCTCAATTCCTAAACTAAGTAATGAACATTCGCTGAACATTGTTTGAATGGCCTACAAACATTTGCACTTTGCCACTGTGGGTTTGAATTCCATTAGGGACACTTTGGATTCTTTCGTGTGATGAAGTTATCCAGCTAGTTGATGGAATGTCAGTAATTCTACTCAGAAACCTGTTCATGTGTTAAATAATGCGGTGAAGGGCACTTGAGGTATTCCCCCACCAGTAAAGCTTGAAAGTCGTCATTTGACCTATTCTGTGTTGGTGCGACATAAAACCTAACTAATGAAAACACAAAACGAAGGTCTAGTGCTATAAGGGCGTAAATGCATTTTTGCAGGTTTCGGGAAATTGAAAAAAACTGTCTGCAGACTTTGATTCTTTTTCAATCATGGTAAAATTTGGGACACACTTAGAACAACTTATATCGACTTTTTTTTAAACATTTTCAAATTAGAATAACCCATCACCTTAATAAAAATTCACAAAATCCGTATTATGCCCTTTTAATATTTACATTTTTGTGCATTGGCCAATAATTCTAAAAAGACGTAACTAGCAGTTTCGCTCTTTAAAATTGTTACTGGGACTTGGCTAAATAGGGCGTAACTAACATATATGCCCTTTTAGATTTAAGTGTATTCATTAATTATCAATACAATTATACAATTGTTTGTATCGATAACAATAATGAATTGTAATAAGTGACCGTTGTAAACTATCTTTAGTCTTTAAACCTATGACATTGTATGTGAAGGTTACATGACAGATAAATAAAACAATACTAAAGTCTTGATTTTAAATGTTACATAATTATATGACTTAGAATAGTCACTGTGTTTCATTAAATTGACCTCGAGCTGCTTATTATATATAGGTACAACACATTGATTCTTTCCTAGAATTAACTTAAATGACTGATACATTCTGTGTGTTGAAAACCCACGTAGTAATGCTACATATCAAATATCTTAGCTCTGAGTAATGTGTCGTAGTTTCCTGTGGCCCATTGAAACCATTTATGTAAAAGGTTGTATTTCAAGTTGGATTAAGATCCTGCTTATGATTAAAGAAGAGATAATTCTAAACAACTTGTGGTTAACGACGGACGACAGACATATTCCTATCATAGACAAAAGCACTAAAACGTCAAGAACGGAACATTATTACACTTAATGTACAATGATGCACATACACAGCTAATAGGCAACTTTGATACAAATTTTAACAGTTTAGTTTATACACATTTATTTTAGTTCGGTTGTGTTGGAAGTTGTAAGCTTATCTAAACACATTCGAATATGCCCCCATGAAAACAATACCTTGGTCCTAACGAGGTTTGAACCGTTTGGTTCTAGTTACAGTTGGCTGATTGAATGATTGAAGCAAGTTGAAAATATTTTTGAAAACTAAAACATATATTTTCAGATAAAATACACAAAATAAATCTTTTTTTCTATATTGAGGCATGAATGAATGATAAATAAGATACACATGAAATATAATCATCGAATCATGTACATCATGTATACATATTGTACTCAGGAATTTGAATTACTTTAATACAAACTGCCAAATACAAGCTTAAAAGCATTTGAAACTTTGAAAGAATACACTATTTATACTACTAACAGTTTCAAATTCAAATTTTATTGTAATTAACAATCAACTTTAGATCAACGACATTATGACTAGGCAATGTCAACTGTATTTAACATTAAAGTGTCTGAACTCTATGTCACAATACCATTCTTTATTCCAGTCACACAGTGTTGTCCAATACCCAATGTACAATAACCTTCATTATTATTTTAATAAGTTTAATTAATAGTTTTCCCATGAAGAAATTATTAATATTAGCTTTTATGTAATCTGGGTCTTTTCGACCCTTTTACAAGCTTGACATGCGCGATGTCTCCTGTCATCTCAGAATGATTTCTAACACAGACGAGGTGTGGATTTTGTCAGCTTCTAAAGTTTTTTACGGCAAAAAGACACTTTGTTAAAAATATCAGGTTTCTTTGTTGCCACATGAAGCTATAGGGGTAGAATATACATTCTTTAACATTACAAAATTTTGAATGTTTATAAAGACAATTTAATGCAATATCGTTGCTTTCTTTTTTAAAATTTCTCGGTCTATGGGAGGGGATATTCCTCCCACACCCACCTGACTATAGCTAGATAGGTACAACTAGAGGCCTTTATATTATGAAACATGCAAAGCGCTTGTTTGAATGCAATATTTCTAGTGATTCAGTAATTCAATCGCATGCAAAGTAATAAAACTTTGATTCAAACGAATTGACAATTCATAGACGATGACTCAAATGATTTTTGTCAACTTTTTCCCCGGGGAATAGACCTTGGACCCCCTTATCTACAATGCGTATTCTTAAAATGTGACAAGGTATGTCCCTGACTCGTGACATAGAGTCCTAACGTGCGTAAATGTGACTATCTGACTATCTGTTTGAACTAACGTATCAAAGTCTTAAAAGGGCCTAAGTATTACTTAGGCTCTTATAAAATTTGAGAACGGTGTAGATATGGTGTAGTTACGCCCTTATAAAATTGTCCTTTTGGACTCGATGCACTTACGCCCTACCTATCATTCTTCGATATTGAAGCCAAATTAAATGCTAGAGTAAAGATATTTAGTCAGCAGGTGCGCGATGACGTTCTGCTTCGAATGGCGTAAAAACATGAAAAAGGGCGTAAGTACGACTTACGTCCTTATAGCACTAGACCGTCGAAAAACTGATTGACCTAGTACATTATGAAATTTTATAAGCAAGTCGTATACATGTATATTATGTACTAGTCATATATAGGTACTGTTTGTAAATATATGATCTCTACTTATATTCTCTATCAATGATTTTAATTCTTTTATATATATATATAATTATATTGAAGCTTGTGTCATTTGAAGTACCAAATGTAGAGGAAATGTTTGGAACTCTCTTCTTGAAGGCATGTTTTGGTGATGGTGGTGAACATTTTCTAGAAATGATGTTAGTATTGTGTTCATTTTAGTTCTAGGAATCATTTGTGTATCCCATTATGTTTTAGAAATTAACACAACTTTTAACGAGAGTGTAACAACCTTTCTGTCTTGTATCTTAATCATTTTCTTGTTTTAAGCATCTTATTAATACTTAATGTTTTGTCTTGAATAAATCTCCCATGTCACTTGTTGTACTAAAATTGACATTTTATGTTATCTTAAGAAGAAATTCTGCCTCAATTCTTCAAATCAAAACATAAAGAGCTTTTTGCACTACCTTCAACATTACATACCATATCATGTACTTTAAGTTTGGAAAGATAAAAGTATTTGTATACATAGTTTGCATGTATAAACCATTATTAGAATGTGACATGCTGTGTAGCATGTACTTACTATTCATCACTTGACTGTCTTCAGTGAAGATCTACAATTAATCTGTCACCGTTTCTAAAAATAGAAAAATGGTTTCTGGACTATAACTAGAGTAAGGAATGAGGTATTGTAATCAAACTTGGTGTATAGTAAGCTTATGTGGAAACCCTGGTTGGTATTGCATTTGGACCCCTTAGGGTCAAGGTCACAGTTACTAAAATAGTAAAATGGTTTCCGGACAATAACTAGAGTTAGGAATGAGATATTGTAATCAAACTTGGTGTATAGCAAGCTGATATGAAGACCCAGGTTTTGCATTTTGTTTAGAAATTTTATGCCCAGATATCAGTTAATTTGGTTCATTTTGTTTTTGTCAAGTCTATGTATATAACTGTCATTTGTTGCATCTTCATTTTATAAGACTTGGGTACAACATCTCTCTAAAAGAGCATTTTATTTTGACATATTTAAATGAACTAGAAAGAGCACTTTATTTTAATTTTAATATATTCAGATTTGACCAGAGCGGGTTATTTTGATTTATTCAAATATGGCCTCTGGGGTCAAATTGGCCTGTCTGTAGGTCACTTGATTTATATAAACTTATAGGAAACACATTTAAGTCTTATTTTGTAAAACTACAAAGCCCAGAGCTTAGATATTTAGCATGTAGCTTCATTTTGTAGATTTCTACAAAAGTTATATTAACCCTTTCACTGCCATAGGGACAGCTTATGCTGTCCCTGTTATTTTTGGCGTATTTGCCATATGGACGGCTTTCGCCGTTTCTATAATAATACTAGTAATAATAATAAATTGAAAATAATAATAATAAAGATAATAATAAATATAAAGAAAATTATACCATCGACAATAATTATTATTATACTACAGATTTGGAAACATATATAATTATTATAATACTTATAAAATTAATGATAGTTATATTAATTAATAATAAAGTAATTTCTAAGAAAACCCTCCGGCAAATAGATGATCAATAAAACAATAACCCTCTGGCAGCGAAAGGGTTTAAGATATATATACATGAATATATACACACACTATGCTCAAATTTGATATTTGTAAATATTGATAATTGGCTCACAGTCTTTTTGTGTCACCTCTATGAGGGGCATTATCCAAGATGCAATTTCTTTAGAGTCATGTCCCTTTTTAACTTAAGTATTATTGATAATGGTTGCCCTTAACAGATGAGCTTGAATACCACATGTGGTGCTATTGTTATCATATTGAACTAGAAATGACTATGATTGTTAAAATTATTGTAAACCTTGTATCTATAAAAGATAATGGAGTATTGTTTTCTTTAATCATTAATATATACCATCATATTATCAGTTTCTCTGTGACTTTCATAATGGTTACTTATTCTAACTAACCAGTAAAGATGATAGGTGGGGGAAAATATGCGTCATTTTGACATTTCTTGGTCAAATATTGCCAACTCTGACAGGGTGCTTCATTTTGATGGCCACCTGAAAATGTCTGTCTTTTTTAATGTATTCCAATATTGCCACCTCTGCCTGCGCACTTCATTTAAATATATCAAATATGTTCACCTCTGAAAGAGCTTTATATTTTGATGTATTAAAATATGGCCACTTAAGAGCACGCTTCATTTTAAGATATGGTAAAAAAATCACCATAACTATTCAATAACATCAGGGGCTGGGGCATTCATGTTTTACTAACAAAGCTTGATTCATTTATAAGTTACATGAAGCATTTATTTAGCATATTATTATCTCTTTATAGGAAGAACGATGAGATAGACCCATCAATACAACTGCTTGTTTACCTGTATAAACTCCCATTTTTTATGCAAAAGATTTTGTCATATGTTGCTAGCTTTATTGCAAAGGTAAGTGTAAACATGTTTATTTTAGGTGGTGCTTTGTCGGTCAGTGATGCATTTCTGCATCTTTTCTTATTTCTGTGCATTAAATTCCGAATTTTGATCATTTTTAGTTTGACTTGTTTTTTTATATTAAGTAAAAATGGTGTATTGTTACAATCATGGCAGAGTTTCCTTTGTGGTTGCCGTCCACAAACTTAAACTTTGATCAAAACTTTTTAAGTTTTTCTTAGTGTATTGTCTTTATACTTGGCCACAACAACCTTTAGGACATGCCCTTTCAGTAGACCAGATTAAACTTGACCTTTATAAATGACATTGACCTAAATTTTGCTTGATTTTTGCTATTTATGGCTATAACTGTTATTTTTGAATGGATTGACTTTTAGCTTGAACACAACAATCTTTTAGGATAGGCATTGACCTACATATTTAAACACAACATCAATGGATTATCTTTAAACTTGGGCAAAACAACCTTTTGGACAATACCCTCTAAAAAGGTTGACTGACCTTGAGCTTTAATTGACCTTGACCATCAAGACCAGATGATTGAATTTTGCTTATATTTCCGGTACTTTGTTATTTATTTATTAAAACGATTCATCTTTGGACAAAACAGCAAATGAGACTAGGCAGATTTATTGAAAAAAAAATCTTTTTTTAAAGACTTGTTTAAAGTGTTTGTTTGATTTAGTAAAAGTAAAAAAAGCTGGCTCTTTTTATTTTTGGTTTTAATTGGTTATTTATCATTGTTGCTCTCAACAGACGACCATTGGCAATGCATGGTCATCTCTGTTTTTGATATATTTCATATTTATACATACAGGAAAAGGTGCCTGGTCTACAAATACGATCAATGCAGGGTGTTAAGTAAGTTTTTGTTGGTTTTAATAAATACATACTATCATGTTTTAGTCAATAGTATAAGAAATTGGCTGTTCAAATTAAATTTCTTACTTCTGTGAGTTTATAAAAGTTCAATCTAGCCTTACATAATTTTTAGGTCACTGAACTTCCTTAAACCGGAGATGTCAATATTGTTATAACACAAAACATATCAGTTAGTACCAGAATTATACAAATTTGGGAAAAGGGTGATGCCTGGAAGCATTAACCACAACAAAATTACATAAAAATTGCAGACTTTTCATGGTATGGCACTAACATGTCACATTGAAGGTCCCATGATAACCGCAGTATGAACACATTGCAGATGTTTCAAAATTCCAAATTTACCATTTCATATTAAATGTTTAATACTGCTTAAATCGGTGCTAGGAAATGGTGGCTTGCACTTCCCATTACCTTTCATGAACAGGGTCAATCAAATCGAGCCCGCAATATTTTCAATTTTGTCGTTTTGTGCGTTATTTAGAGATTCTCACTCTCTTTAATTGGTTTGATTGAGTCTGTACATAGGAATACTGAAAAAAAATGGAACATCCCTCATGTTCTCTAGCATCGGGTTGAGCAGTACTTAATTTTCAAAACTGGAATCAATAAACCCGAAGGACCAGAACACTTCCCCTTCAGAATCAAAATTGTAATAAACTGACATTGTAATTTATTTATTGACGGAAATTAGTGAAAATATAACCATTAATAAAACATGAAATAGATAGTAAATATACTTTATTAGTTGCTGCCAGCAGGCTAAAGGTTAAACATATGATTGGTGCTTACAGGTCTGTGAAGGATTGGTGGCAACTTGCAGGACAGATAGATCGATACAGAAAGGATTTTATGTCACTCTGGAAAAAAGATAACCTAGATGCCATCCTGTGTCCTACAATGCCATATGTAGCTCCGCCTACTGGAACTGTCAAATATCTAATAGGTAGGATGTTTGAGGGTGTGTCTTCATACCTTTTATGGTAGGGTGTCCATCTTGTCTTTCATCTGCTTGAATGAAGGATAACAGTATCAGTGGTTGTGTTATATTTATTATCAAAAGATTAATTTATGTTGATTTACTCCACAGTCAACTCATTATTGTCCCCTGCCTTTTCAAAGAAAAAACGGGGATATAGAAATAGGCTCCGTCTGTCCGTCCGTCCCTCACACTTTCGTGTCCGGCCCATAACTTTGTCATTTATGAAAGGAATTTGAAATAACTTGGCACAAATGTTTATTATAATAAGATGATGTGTCATGCGCAACAACCAGACCCCTACCTCCAGGGTCAAGGTCACACTTGCTCATTCAAGGTCAACATTGCCTGTTTGAGGGTATATGTCGTGTCCGGTCCATAACTTTCTTATCTATGAAGGGATTTTGTAAATACTTGCCATAATTGTTCACAATAATCAGACGATGTGTCATGCACAAAAACGTGTCACCTACCTTCAAGGTCAAGGTCACACTTGGAGGTCAAATATTAACATAGTCTGTTACAGGGAGTCTGTTACAGGGAATATTTTGTGTCTGGTCCATAACTTTGTCATTTATCAAAGGAATTTGAAATAACTTGGCACAAATGTTTGTTATAATAAGACGATGTGTCATGCGCAACAACCAGACCCCTACCTTCAGGGTCAAGGTCGTACTTGCTCATTCAAGGTAAACATTGTCTATTTGAGGGTATATGTTGTGTCCGGTCCATAACTTTCTTATCTATCAAGGGATTTTGTAAATACTTGCCATAATTGTCACAATAATCAGACGATGTGTCATGTGCAAAAACCAGTCACTTACCTTCAAGGTCAAGGTCACACTTGGAGGTCAAATATTAACATAGTCTGTTACAGGGTATATTTCGTGTCCGGTCCATAACTTTGTCATTTATCAAAGGAATTTGAGATAACTTGGCACAAATGTTTGTTATAATAAGACGATGTGTCATGCGCAACAACCAGACCCATCCCTTCGAGTCAAGGTCATATTTGCTCAATCAAGGTAAACATTGCCTACTTGAGGGTATATGTCGTGTCCGGTCCATAACTTTCTTATCTATGAAGGACTTTTGTAAATACTTGCCATAATTGTTCACAATAATCAGATGATGTGTCATGCGCAAAAACCAGTCACCTACCTCCAAGGTCAAGGTCACACTTGGAAGTCAAATATTAACATAGTCTGTTACAGTGTATATTTTGTGTCAGGTCTATAACTTTTTCATAGATCAAAGGATTTTGAAAATACTTTGCACAAATAGTCACTATAATAAGAGGATATGTCATGCGCAACACCTGCATCCCTACCTCCAAGGTCAAGGTCACACTTAGAGGTCAAAAATTAACATAGTCTGTTATAGGGTATATTTTGTGTCGAATCTAGAACTTCTTCATAGTTCAAGGGATTTTGGAATAACTTGGTACAAATAGTGTTATAAATTCTTCTCTCTTGTAATTTATAATTTCTACTACTTCCATAATTTCCTTTGCATAAAATAAACAATAACTGTTTTCCGTTTCATTTCACCATTTATTTATTTGAAAGTGTCCTAAATTTCTAATCTACAATTAATATTTAAAGTTACAGTTTTTCTTCCTCACACATGGTTGATAAGTCACTCAATTTTTACTATTTAGCTCTTAAAGACATTTTCTACATTTTTATGAAAAAATAATCCTTTCATAGAATTTTCTGAATTTTTTGTATGATGAGTAAAATTTAATGACGGATTTAAAAATAAAAAGAAAAATATATGTTGACGTGTTGGATTTCTTGTAAAATGGCAGTTTCCATGGTAACCGTATATCTAAAAACTGTCAAAATAGCCTAACTGTGTTATAACGAATAAAAAATGTATAAGATAGCTTAAAACACAAACTAGCATTGTTTTATGCAAAGATAACCTTATCTAATGATTCTGTATGAAATAAATGATAATCTGAACATATTTCTTTAAAAAATGAGTTTTCCATGTTCCTCAACCGAACAAAAAATGAGAAAAATGAACATGAATTCTCAGAATAATTAGAGATATTGAAAAAAGTGTTTCATAGAATTTTCTAATTTTTTTGTATATTGTGTAAAATTTAATGACAAATTCAAAAAGAAAAAGAAAAATATATGTTGGCGTGTTGGATTTTTTGAAAAATGGCAGTTTCCATGGTAACCGTGTATCTCAAAATTGTCAAAATATCCAAACTGTATTATAATAATGAATAAAATAGCTTATTACACTCACAATAAACATAATTTTATACAAAGCTTGCTTTATCTTAGGGTTCTGTATAAAAACAGACGATAATTTGGACATATTTTTTTAAAAAATGAGTTTTCATGCTTTTTAACTGAACAAAAAATGAGAAAAATAAACATGAAAATTTTCTGTAAAAAATTAAATCTATCAAGAAATTTCTTTTACAGAATGTTCTACATTATTGATATATCAAGTAACATTTGATTGTGGATTCAAAAATAGAAATAAAATATATATGTTGACGTGTTAGTTTTTTGTAAACGGGCAGTTTCCATGGTTACCGCATATGCCAACTGTCAAAATTACCACGTACGCTTTCTTAAGAAATATCAGTGTTATACTAAATGTATTGTCAAATATAAAACATGTTGTGATAAGAATTTCTTTTTCTTTTGATGTTATATTAAGTAAATGATACTGAATATTTATTTTAAAACATATCTAGGGCCATATTATTTTTTTCACTCGACTAACATACCCGAACAGTAAGCAAGTATTCAGAAATTTACAAAGAAAATAATGAAATTCTGAACATTTCTTGGATATTAATTTTTTTTTTTATGCCACCGCAGCATCTGCGATGCGGTGGCATATAGCGATTCACCTGTGTGTGTGTGTGTGTGTGTGTTTGTGTGTGTGTTATATAGATTATATAGTGAACTTAAAAAATCTTCTTGTGAAAAACCACTAGTCCAATTTCAACCAAACTTGGCAGGATTGTTCCTTGGGTGAAGGGCTTCCAAAGTTGTTCAAAGAATTTCATTCCATGCAGAAATCTGGTTGCCATGGCAACCAAAAGGAATTATAAGAATAAATTTAAAAAATCTTCTTGTAAAGACCCAAAAGGCCTAGAGCTTAGATATTTTGCATAAGGCATTGTCTGGTAGACCTCTAACAAGATTGTTCAAATTATAGCCCTGGGGTCAAAATTGGCCCCGCCCCGGGGGTCATTGATTTTCACTATGTACATATAGTAAAATCTTAAAATACCTTCTTGTAAAAACCCAAAAGGATTAGAGCTTGGATATTTTGCATAAGGCATCGTCTTGTAGACCCTTACCAAGATTATTCAAATTATAGCCCTTGGGTCAAAATCGGCCCCGCCCCGGGGTCATTGATTTTCACTATATGTACATATAGTAAAAACTTAAAACACCTTCTTGTAAAGACCCAAAAGGCCTAGAGCTTAGATATTTTGCATAAGGCATTGTCTGGTAGACCTCTACCCAGATTGTTCAAATTATAGCCCTGGGGTCAAAATCGGCCCCGCCCCGGGGGTCATTGGTTTTCCTTATATGTATATAGTAAAAACTTATAGTAAAAACTTCAAAAAAAATTCTTCTAGCAATTGACAAATGCTAGAGGTTAGATATTTTGCATGAAACATTGTGTAGTAAACCTCTAGCAAGATTGTTCAAATTATAGCCCTGGGGTCAAAATTGCCCCGCCCTGGGGGTCATTGATTTCAATATAAACATATAGTAAAAAATAAAAAAATCTTATTGTCTGAAGGTACAAGGCTTAGAGCTTTAATACTTGTTAAATAATATCATCTAAAGGTACTCTACAAAAATTATTAAAAATTTTGCCTCTTGTGTCAAAATTAGCCCCGCCCCCCGGGGGCCATAGGTTTTCCTTATATGTATATAGTAAAAACTTAAAAAATCATCTTCTCTAAATTTACAAAGGCTAGAGTTAAAATATTTTGCATGAAACATTGTGTAGTGAACCTCTTGCAAATTGTTCAAATTATAGCCCTGGGGTCAAAATTGGTTCCGCCCCGGGGGTCATTGATTTTCATTATGTACATATAGTGAAAAAATAAAAAATATTTTTGTCTGAAGGTACAAGGCATAGAGCTTTGATGTTTGATATATAATATCATTTATAGGTCCTCTACCAAAGTTTAAATTTTTCCCCTGGGTCAAAATTGGCCCTGCCCCGGGGCAGTGATTCTCATTATGTACACATATTAAAAACAGAAAATAAAACAAATGTTTTCTGAATGGGAGAAAGCTATAGCTTAGATATTTGACTTGAAATGTTGTTTGGTGGACCTGTATCAAAAGTGTTTTGAATTAAACCCTTGGGTCAAAATTATGCCTTGCCCAAGGGGACAATGCAGTGACCTACTTCCTTGTTCTTTGATGTACAGCAACGACATTTTGACCATGTGCACAGTTTTAGTTGTAAAATTGAACTTTGATATCAAGTGACCTAGATTTTGATGATGTGACCTACTTTCTTGTCCTTTGATGTACAGCTATGAAACTTGAACCATGCGGTGGCATAGCATTTTTCTCAAATGCAATCTTGTTTTTTTATTCAACACTTTTAAAATATATCATTTTAAACTTCTTTGCCCAGTTGTCTGCCAGTAATCAAGTCGCGACGCACTTTTTTCACTATACCACAAGTGGGTGGGGTACCGCGCGCAGAATTATCATCAATTCTGTCGTACTGCTGCTTGGAGAAATACTTTATGTGATGTTGTCTAAACGACATTCTTATTCTTTTGAACCAATCTCCTTTTTGAACATTAAGAAATATCTATTCTGTATTATTTACTCATTATTTGCATATAGCCGAAATTTAAACACTTATCCGAATACTATTCAACTTTACCTTCATTTGAAGAGTAATTATCCGTGATTATCTTTCTTGGATGCGCATAACGATGCGCACAGAAAACTACCGAAAACGTCTTTAAGATCTCATTCTTGAAACTTCCATCTAAAATCCTGAATCTTGACTCTTCAATCTAGAAACTTGAATGTTGACTACCTCCAGAAAATCTTGTCTCAGTATTTATATGAAATACCTTGACTCTCCATATTTGGAGGTTACCTTAGTGTTAATTGACAAATTTAAGCCTTCTATATTTATGACGACAAGTGTTGATCAAGTAACAGTACCAGAAACAAACAGACTGATTCCTGGAATATTTATGATGGTAACCAATGATTGAGTTCCCTAAGCACAACAATTGCAGGCCTCTTGTCCATAATTTATGCAGGTACCTGTTGACAGAGTAACCATACTCAAATCTCCAAGACTAATACACAGTCTAGCCCCAACAGATTTATAGTGATAAATAATGACAACAAATGAGGTCTCAATTCTCATACAAACTCAATCATTAAATCAAACCTTAACCAGGTGCCTTAATAAAACTACAACAATAGTCACAATAATAAGCCGATATGTCAGGTACAACACCTGCACCCCTACCTCTTAAGGTCAAGGTCACACTTAGAGGTCAAAGGTTAACAGAGTCTGTTATTTGGTATATTTTTTGTCCTGTCCATTACTTCTTCATAGATTAAGGGATTTTGAAAATACTTGGCACAAATAGTCACAATGATTAGATGATGTAACATGCGTAACATCTGTGTCCCTACCTCCAAGGTCAAGGTCACACTTAGAGGTCAAAGATTTACATAGTCTGTTATAGGGTATATTTTGTGTCCAATCTATAACTTCTTCATAGTTCAAGGGATTTTGAAAATACTTGGCACAAATAGTCTCAATAATAAGACGTTGTGTCATGCACAACACCTGCCCCCCTACCTCCAAGGTCAAGGTCACACTTAGAGGTCAAAGCTTAACATGATAGATTTTTAAATTCCGTGTTTCATTTTATTTTTTTAACAAATTTATTGTTACATTTGCAGATCTAGCATTGATCATAATTTTGGACTGAATGTCCTGAGATCCATACCTCAATCTTTTGAAATAGCACAATTTTATGCTTCATATAAAACTCCCGGGGCGGGGGAATGTTACAAATTCTTGTTGATATGGTTATGCCCCTTTATATGCAAATTTTGTTGGAATATCTAATTTTTGGCCGAGTTGCATAGGTACAAACCTGGAATATAGTATGGTGAATGTCAGACGGTGGGCGGGCAGGAAAAACTTTTGTAACAGTTTTCTCAGCAACAACTTATCACAGCCTCTTGATATTTGGCATACAGCATTGACATGTGGTCCCATACTGTGGGAGTCAATATAATAACAGTTAAATTTTCAACATTTATGGTCAGTGGTAAATCTTTTTCATCACAGCATTTACTTTGTTTTATTAGCTCACCTGAGCACGAAGTGCTCAAAGGTGAGCTTTTGTCATCACTCTGCGTCCGTCGTGCGTCCTTCAAAAAATGGCGTCAAACTTTTCAAACAACATCTCCTCCTAAACTACATGGCCAATTGCAACCAAACTTTACAGAAATGATCCTTAGGTGGACCCCTTTCAAAGTTGTTCAAAAATTTAAATTCCATTAAAAACTCTGGTTGCCATGGCAACCAATAAGAAAAACTTAAAAAATCTTCTTCTAAAAAACCGTAAGAGCTAGAGCTTAGATATTTGGCATGAAACATCTTCTAATGAGTGCCTACCAAGTTTGTTCAAATCAAAGCCCTAGGGTCAAAATTGGCCCAGCCCCAGGGGGTCATTGATTTTCCCTAAATGCATATAGTAAAAACTTAAAAAATCTTCTTTTAAAGAACTCAAAGAGCTAGAGCTAAGATATTTAGCATGAAACATGTTCTAATGGGTGTCTACCAAGTTTGTTCAAATAAAAGCCCTGGGGTCAAAATTGGCTCCGCCCCGGGGGTCATTGATTTTCCTTATATGTGTATAGCAAAAACTTAAAAAATCTTCTTTAAAAAAACCCAAATAGCTGGAGTTTAGCTATTAAGCATGAAACATCTTCTAGTGAGTGTCTACAAAGTTTGTTCAAATCAAAGCCCTAGGGTCAAAATTGGCCCCGCCCCGGGGGTCATTGATTTTCATTATATGACTGTGTATAGCAAAAACTTAAAAATCTTCTTTGAAATACCCAGATAGCTAGTGTTTAGGTATAAAGCATGAAACATCTTCTAGTGAGTGTCTACCAAGTTTGTTCAAATAAAAGCCCTAGGGTCAAAATTGGCCCCGCCCCAGGGTGTCTTTGATTTTCCCTATATGCATATAGTTAAAACTTAAAAAATCTTCTTTTAAAGAACTCAAAGAGCTAGAGCTAAGATATTTAGCATGAAACATGTTCTAATGAGTGTCTACAAAGTTTGTTCAAATAAAAGCCCTAGGGTCAAAATTGGCCCCGCCCCCCGGGGGTCATTGATTTTCCCTATGTGCATATAGTAAAAACTTAAAAAATCTTCTTTTAAAGAACTCAAGGAGCTAGAGCTAAGATATTTAGCATGAAACATGTTCTCATGGGTGTCTACCAAGTTAATTCAAATAAAAGCCCTGGGGTCAAAATTGGCCCCTCCCCGGGGGTCATTCATTAGCTTGACTTTTTTTTTTTCGATATATACATATTATATATATACATATATATTTAATATTTTTATATATATATATATATATATATATATATATATATATATATATATATATATATATATATATATATATATATAAATAAATATATATATATATAAATGTGTGTATATATATATAGATATATATATACATATTATGTATATTATACAAATATGGACTTTTTAGCTGTTGAATATGATGTGATATGTACTGAAAAAATTAATATTGACCGAGGCGATAGCCGAGGTCAATATTAATTTTTCAGTACATATCACATCATATTCATCAGCTAAAAAGTACATATCTGTTTTAATATATATTTTATAAATAGCTTTTATATGGCTTATCACATCTGCCATTGCATACGACGGAAATCATTATTTTTCAGCTTGTCTACTGTTTCCATAATTTGGCCCTTTCCATTGGCATGCTAATCCCTATTTTTCTTAAAAATGAAAAACGGTAACTTAAATAGACTAATTTGACTCTTATGTACACCCAACTCAACGTTTTATTAAGAATAATAACAACAAACTTGGCGTTACGTCATGTCAAAGTCTCGCGTCTTTTAGGGATTTCCAGAAAATCTATTTTTAGAAGAATAACCGGTGAATATACTCTGAAAATCTATTTTTAGGGAAAAAAAACAGTGAATATTCTCTGATATTGACCTGTTATTTTTTACAAAAAGTTGCTTGTTAGCCAATCAGGGAAAGGCATTTCAAAGCTATTTATAGATTATATAATATATATATATATATATATATATATATATATATATATATATATATATATATATATGTATATATGTATGTATGTATATGTATATACAACCAAGTTTGTTCAAATAAAAGCCCTGGGGTTTATACTGGCCCCACTCCAGGGGCCTATATACAGGTGAGCGACTTTGGGCCATCATGGCCCTCTTGTTTAATACGGTGGAGATACAGAAATTTTCTTGTGTATTTTTGTCATTTCTAGTTCAGTATCATACTTAGGCCATCCTTAAAAAAATGTTTGTTTGCAGTAACCCGACCCAGAATTTTCAAGGTGGGTAGGTAGGTCGATTTATTTATTTATTTTTTTTTTTATTGAACTGTACTCCCAAATAAACATGGAATTTCAAAATGCTGGACAATATATGCTTTGATAATCTGGTAACAATTAATAAATTGATAACTGAATTCTAATTTAATAAGACCTACATTTTATTTCTTCTATTAACCTTTAACAGAACATTAACAAAGCACAAGGCATAATTTTCTGATTCAAAAAAAAAATTTTTTATCCAGACCATGAAAAAAAATTTTGAGTAGGTGCAAATTTTGTGAGTCGGTCGCGTTACTGCAAACAAACATTTTTATAAGGATGGCCTTATTCAAATATTCACTTTCTTATATTGCCACCAAAATTCTTGTAATAGAGTTGGTAAGCGAACAGCATGAATCCTGATCAGACTGCGCGGATGCGCAGGCTGGCCTGGATCCATGCTAGTCGCAAACGCACTATGTTGGTTTTGTCATGACGTGGCACAAATGTTAAAATATTCATTTCAGGTGGTGTGACATATACAACATTGTATAATGTACTCAACTTTCCCGCTGGTTGTGTTCCTGTTACCAAGGCTACAGCTGTGGATGAACAGAATATGAAAAATTATCCAAATGTTACAGGGACACAAAAATTTATTAAAAAGGTTGGTAGTGGTACAGAATATAAATAATATTCACCGAATATCAGGCTTTATTTAATCCATGAAATATGGTGCTATATCAGTCAAATATATTTCATAATTTTTAAAAATGAATATGAAATATAAATATGAAAGTGGGCGGAGTTAAAACTCATATATATTTTAAGGGTCTTCTTTCGCCGTTTTGTTTGAAAAATCTGATAAATACAAAACAACTTTTTCTTGAATATTGTTTTGAAAACTATCTAACATGATAGAAAATGGTCTAACTAAGAAAATTAATCCAAACACCAATAAATTAATCCAAACACCAATGTCTTTAATTCAGTAATTAACGCTGTACAGACGTTTAAAGAGTTGTTTACATGACGTCACAATGATGCGCTAAATATTGCGCGTGCTTACGCAAAAATAACTGCGCGCTGGACAATTGCAGTTGGTAGCATCAAGGGGATTCGTTACCATTTTCTTTGATAATGAAATTAAATAAAAAGGTTATTAGTCCCCTACCGGTTTACCGGAGGGGACTTTAGGTTTACCCTCCGTCCGTCTGTCCGTCTGTCCGTCCGTCCGTCCGTCAGTCCGTCTGTCCGTCCGTCAGTCCGTCCGTCCACAAAACTGGATCCCGCGATAACGCAAAAAGTACTGAAAATATTTTAATGAAACTTGATATATGGATAGATGGCAGTATGGAGATTATGCACGTCTTTTTCTTTTCTTCCTATGTTGAAAATTCTGGTTGCTATGGCAACAAATAGACTGAAAATATGGCAAATTTTACACATAACCTGGATCACGCGATAACGCAAGAAGTACTGAAAATATTTTTATGAAACTTGATATAAGGATAGATGGCAGTATGGAGATTATGCACGTCTTTTTCTTTTCTTCCTATGTTGAAAATTCTGGTTGCTATGGCAACAAATAGACTGAAAATATGGCAAATTTTACACATAACCTGGATCCAGTGATAACACAAAAAGTACTGAAAATATGTTTATGAAACTTGACATATGGGTAGATGGCAGTTACGGAAATTATGCACATCCTTTTTTATCTTCCTATGTTGAAAATTCTGGTTGCTATGGCAACAAATAGACTGAATTTCAAGATTTCTGATTCTAGTTTTTAAGTTTTTTCACTATAAGTTCTTTATTTCTTAAGGTATTTTCTTCAAACTTTAAATATAAGTTGATTGTCATCAACCACATCATATGTGACAAGGTTTACAACTCTAGCACAAAATTTATCAGAATTACCTCCCTTGAACTTAAAATTTTCATGAAAAAAACATTGTTTTTTTTTTTTAATAACTTCTTTTTCTGAATGTATCTACTTCAAACTTCATATAAATGTTTCTTGTTGTCACTCAACATTTGTGAGTGTTCAATACTCTAGCAAGACTATTTCCAGAATTATGCCCCTTTTGAACTTAGACTTTTTTTTGAGAAATTGGTAATTTTTACTCCAACTTCTTCAATCATGATAGGATTTAAAAAAATGTTACATTTTGATAACAGGGATGTTTAAAAAATAACTTTAGAGTGTCCTTCAGTCTATCTGTCTGTACATAAAAACTGTTTCCTGTGATCACTTTTCAAGAACTTTTTCAACAAATTTACTTAAAATAGGAACCTAAGTGAATGGCCAATGGCCCTTCAGAATGTTGCTTGGGCTCTTACCGGTAGGGGACTTATGGATTGCTCGCAATACTATGATAATTGCTTGTTTTTTCGTGAAATATGGTATATATATTTTCACTCAACATGATAAATGCCACATATTTTCACTCGCCGTACCGGCTCGTGAAAATATGTGGCATTTCATCATGTTGAGTGAAAATATATTCCATATTTCACTCAAACAAAAAAATATCCTCTTAATATTTGCAGACAGCAAAGTTTGTAATGTTGGCAGCAATTTTATTTCAGTTAATCTTATTTTAAAGGAATATGTTTCAGGTAACCTTCCTATTGGTATATTTACACACTTATTGCATCGTCTCACCTTATTGTTAAAATGTTATTGTTAAGCTTATGTAAGGTATAAATTATTTTTAGACAATCAGTTAAATAAACAAAAAAAACTGTTTGCTCACTATGTTATTTGAATAATTTTTTTTTTATTTATATAGTTATTAGACAAAATTATTGCGACATAACCTTGAATGTTTAATTTTGCTGTTTAGTTTATACTGATTTTTTTTTAGTTTGATTGTGTAGGAAGCTATAAGCTTATAAACACACTTTTGAATCCGTTCCTGGAACCAACCAGTACTGAACAATGAGTTTAAAGTTTCTTGCTCAAGAAAACAAGGACTTGCTCCTGACAGGGTTTGAACCCATGCAGCTACATGTAGCGATCATTAGATTACTAGTCTGATGCGTTAACCACTCAGCCATTCCACCACTTAAATTTATAAATATATGAATAAATTTATTAATTTGATACTGTGATATCAATTTATTACAAAGTGTCATTTGAAATCTTGGTAGCAAATCTGAAGTTGAAAATCAAATTACAGAAACTCAAGAATTCTATGTATTGAATTAAGTAAAAATTTAGAGAATCTATATTTCGGGAGACTCGGTGCATGTAATTAAAGCAAAATTAGATACTTACGAAAAATAACCTGATTTACAGTAATACATGTGTATATGTTGTTTTTCTGCTTAATGTCTTACTTTAAAATGGTAAATGGATGTCACTTTTTATGAAAGTGAGCTTAATATAAAGATGGTTTTTAGCACACCTGTACTGAAAGGGCTCAAGATGATCACAATTTTTACAACAGTGCATCCATCTTGACTTATTTTTTTCTCTCCTAATTCCTCTGTGTCAAATTTGTTCCTAACATGAAGTGCTACTGAATCTCCAAATCTCTCCATTGAACATCTGGGTCAAACGGGCAAAAAAAAATAATTAAAAATGGAAGCTCTGAAAATCTTTTGTAAGTGCATGGTCTAGCTTAGGTATTTTGGGTGGAGCATCATTTAAAGACTCTACAAAAAAAGTTCAATTGATAGCCCTTTGGTCAAAATTGGCACCATCTCAAAGGGTCATGGTTTTTCCTTCTATAGTAAATACATCAAAAACTATTCTACTTGAAAACTACAAAGGTTAAATCATAGATATTCTGCATGAAACATTGTCTAGTGAATCTCTATAAAAATTGTTCAAAATATAGACATTTTGAATTGGCTGTACCCTGGGTGTTGTAGATTTTGCTTTTATGTCAATTGTAAATATTCTCTAAATTAATGGAGGCTAAATCAGGTATATTAGGCTTGAAACATTCTAAAACCATGAAGGTTTATACACGTGTATCTGACATGAAAATCTAAACCTCTATTAAAATTGTTAAAATGATGGCTCTTGGGTTTAGATTTGCCCCATCCCTGGGGGTCATAGATTTTATTTATATGTTTATATTTTCTATCTTTTCTAAAGCCATGAAGCCTAAAGCTTTTATATTTGGCATGAAACATTAATTATAATAATAACTTTATTAACAAAATGTAACACATTAAGACAGATTTGTTACATGTTATTTACAATGCAGCCTTGTAAATAGAATAAAATCAATTAAAGAAAATATAAATGTCAAAGAAGTTATTAAATAATAATCACAGTGTTAAAATACATACTTAAAACACATACTTTACGTGTTTACAATTCATTTTATCAATAATTATTATTAACATAAATACAAAATGTACTTTATTCATTGCATCTTCACAAATATATGCAGTTAACAACAAGCGCCCATTATTAGAAAAACATTTTTAAGTAAGAATAGAAATCTACTAATTCAACTCAACAAAAAAGTACAGTCATAAGGTATGAAATTGTGTAGTTGATCTCTATCAAGTTGTCCTTTGGTCTAAATTGTCTCCAGTGTAAATGTGATGGAATTTCCACATAAAGTTGTAGTAGAAATTGACAAATTCTACTTCTCTTAAACCACTAGAGCTGGATATTTTTGGCATGAAACATTGTCAAGTTGACCTCTACCAAGTGTGTTCAAATATTAGCCGTGAGGTTTTAACTGGCTCTGTGCCGTGGTGGAGGATATTCCTTATATCTTTGCATTTAATACTTTTAAAAATCTTTTCTTGAAACCGTAGAAGCTAAAGCTTAGATTTTTGGCATGGAACATTATCTAGTTGACCTCTACCAATTAAGTACAAATTATAGCCATAAGGTCTATATTGGCCCTGCACCAGGGTTCATTGATTTTCCACATACCTGTATATCTATATGAATTTTGTAATATCAGTTTAAGAATAAGACTTCATTATCTGCTTTTCATTTATGGTGTTCAAAAACAGTTTTCAGGCTGTCCAGCGTCCCTAAAATTCCTAAAAAATCCTAATTTTTTTCAGTTTGGCTAAAATTCCTAAAAAAGTGAATAATTCAAAGGGAATTCCTAAAAATACCCTATTTTTTCACTGAAATTCCTAATTTTTTTATCTTTTGTTATAAACATACTTATAACTTGTAATCCTGCGAAAATGGTCTTGAAAATGTTTTGAACATGGTCAAAAATGATTTGGCCATGATTTGCCAACTCAAAATTGGTGACTATAAGGTTTCGTTCCAACTAAAAGTTACTTTGACTATGTCCGTAACATTACTTTTTCATAATCAAAGCAGTTGTTTATAATCATGTTGACAGTTAACAGCAAAAATACTACCATATCATGGTCCTGAAACTTAAATCATATCCATAAGAGGTCCACTTATTCTGGAATATTTTAACACTGTTTTGCCAACTCCAGATACCTTGAATTTTATGTTTCTTCTTTTTTTCCAAATGGCTGAAGTGGTCCATTTATATTATCATATTTGAAAATGATCATAATGAAGCTGTTGTAACGCAATCTTAATTAAAAACATGTATAAATACTTGTCAAAAATTAATGTACAATTTGTTTACTCACAACTCTTTTATTTAAATCTGCATAATTTCAAAACAACATTGTAAAGTACTAAATGTGTTAATGTAGACTTTGCAAAATTAATTATTTCCCTCATACTTATGTATCCTTTCCGATGCCATTGTAGGAGAAATATTTTGCCACAAAGTTATCAATTTCATTCAATTCTTGTTCTTTTATTCATATGGTGTGATTTAGGAAAAGGCAGACTCAAATAATGTAATCACACTCAAAATAATTTGGCAGCTCAATTTAAATTTAAAGCTCATTTCCACTTACCATGTACACACATTTTGCAGTTATATGATCTAGATAAACTGCAATTGAATAGTCTGTGTGAATGAACTTTTTTGATATGCAATTCTTTGTGTTGATAACAGATGTTTCCCATTTGTTCAAATGATTGTACTAAGGCTAATGCCTTTTTACTTCCTACTTGTACAAAAATTTCATTTGTCCATATTCAAAAGCTGCATTGTGCATGAATTTCACTGTATAAGAATTCCTTTTATATAACATTCCCAAAATATAACATTCAACCATTGAAAAAACATATTTCAAATATGGTTTGAACATGGTTTGACTATGACCCAGGGGAGGCAGTTGACCAGTGAGTCCACACTGGTAGACACCTCTTTGCTCTAACTAAACTAGAGCATTATTTGTGCGTTACTGTTGAATCAAATATGCAAAGGTTAGCCCACATCATGGTCTTTTGGGGCCTTAGTTTAGTTATAAAATTCCAAATTATAGCCCTAAAATTTCTATTATGTACCCTAAAATTCCTTATTTTAGCCCTAAAATTTCTAAAATATTGCCCTAAAATTTGCCCTTATTTTTTGTCGGAAGGTGCTGGACAGCCTGAGTTTTGTGTCACTTCTACATAGTGGCATTTTATATAGATTACTTCTCCCTAGTCTGTCACAAAACTTGTCACGGGGTACACTTAGTTAAACCCCTGCACAACAAAGTTGTAAAGGGGGTATACTGGAATCAGCTTGTCCGTCCGGACGTCTCCTTGTCTGGCGGTTTTTCCTTGTTCGCCCAATAACTAATGATTCCTTTAACCCACAGTCTTCATATTTGGTATTTAGATTGGTCATGATTAGTAGATGATCCCTAGTGATTTTAAGGTCAAAGGTAAAGGTCACAGGGGCCTTGACTAAAAAAAGCTTGTCCGCCCAATGACTTAAGATTCCTTTAACCCACAGTCTTCATATTTGGCATGGAGGTTAGTCATGATAAGTAGATGATCCCTATAGATTTTGAAGTCACTGGGTCAAGGTCAATGGGGCCTTGACTAAAATTATTTTGTCATGATTAGTAGATGGCCCCTATTGATGTTGAGGTAATTGGGTCACAGGGCCTTGACTAAAAAAAGCTTTTCCGCTGGATTACTTAAGAATGCTTTGGTCAACAGTCTTCATATTTGGTATTGAGATTATTTTTGACTAGTAAATGACCCATATTGATTATAAAAAGTGTGAAAAAAGGTCAAGTCACAAGAATTTTTACTATAATATGCTTGTCTGCTCAAATGCTGAAGAATGCCTGTCCACAGTGTATTCATTTTCACATTTGAAGCATTTAGAATACATAACTAAGCAATGGCTTAGTAACCTCAGATTTGGCAGGTAGGTTGTCCTTGAGCTTTAAATGGCCACTTTAGATTCTGTCAAAGTGGTATGCGGCGGGAAGGGGGGGGGGGGCTGTATTCATGCCGTGGCAGTTCTAGTTAATATAGTTTTGTATAGGTTAACATGCCTGTATATTTGAAGCACTGCCTATTGTATATAGTAGACCTCTATATGTTTTATCAATAATGCATTTGGAGTATGCCTCCACCTTCGAGGTTATTTAATATCATAAGGATGAATAAGTTAAAACATTTTTCAGACAAGTTTCTTGAATTGGTCTCGACCCTTATTGAAATATTATTTTTTATTACTGAGACAAATTTACATATATTGCTCCACCTTTGATGTGCTCTTGTGTTAACAATAGCAAAAGGTCATGGCTTTGTCAAATTATATACAAATGTTTGTTAATATTTTTAAGCAATTTTTCCTCCCATTACTCAGTGAATGGGTACCTTTTTGCAAAATTTGTTACTTATAATAATTTTGGCCGAGGACATTTGTATTTACCAAAGACGTTGTTGTTTTTGTTTTCAGTATTTTTGTTGTTTTTGTTTTCAGTATTTTTATGTTTTTGTTTTCAGTATTTTTATGTTTTTGTTTTCAGTATTTTAGTTCGGACACAGGAGGGTTACCAGTATCTGTACAATGTGTGGGACTACCGTTCCAAGAAGAGCTAGTGTTACGTGTGATGAAAGAACTAGAAACAGGACTAAAACAATTGAAGGAATAAAATGAGATTATATAGGAATTTTATATGATGGTTTTTAATACAAAAAATATCCATGGAATAAACAAGATTATTGTAGCCAAAATTTGTGTCATTATTCATTTCATGGTAATGTCATGTGTTCAGTGTTTACATTTGTCAAAGTTCACAAAGAAGTTTAAAAATCTGTTTTAGTGAAACAGAACAGCATTTTATTTCTAGAAATAATGGTAATCATAATTGAAGGTCAATATCCAGTGCTTATAACTCTCATGGATTTTGACTGAACTATGGCCCTTTTTAAAATTCTTATTTCAAGTTTTTGATACCACAGCAATCTTTATACCTATAGAAAGTATTCACATGAAACTTAATACATGTCTTTGGAATCATTATTGGAAGTCGCTATCTTTTTGACTTTGTGAATTTAGAAAATGTTTGGTTAAAGTTTTGCTTGCCACATTATATTTTCATAAAACTACTTATTATATATTCACTTGAAACTGGATTTACACTACAAGTAGACTTTCCAAAACCCATAACTCTGGCATTAATTTTGGATAACTTTAGGTAAAGGACAGACAAAATTCTTTGGTCAATATCCAAGACTTAACTGTCACTTTTTGTAAATGAAATCTTCCTCTTTGTTTATGAATCTTTGTTAATGAATCTGGCATTATCTAGGCTTTTAATTTTACCATCAAGCACTGAGAATAGTCGGGTACACTTATCAACAGCTCTTGTTCTGACCTAATCAAGACACTGAGGTAATAGTCAAATATTTAACGAAAATACAGTGTAGTAACATGTGTGTCGGACAAAAGTTCCCCCACCCCATTTAAAAATGACGAGGTGGGCAACCTCCCCCCCCCCTCAAAGATACAGGTATGATAAAAGCCCCCCCCCCTCTAGTCCATCAAAAAAAGGCCCCCTAAGGTTTATAGGCCAGACTTATTACAATCTTTTTTCACACCCCAGAGTTCAGGAACTTTGATTATACTTCAAATAAATCTAAACAAGTATGCCCCTTTAACTTTTATTTCCTTGATAAGCATTCTCTGAAAATATTTAGTAACATTTGTACTGTACAATATATAATAAACTTAAAAAACATTGATATCATCAATGATATTGATTATATAGAATTACACAATAAATCAGATATGAACTTTTAAATCTTAATGTTAATTATCTTTTAAAACAATTGCATTTATGTATTTGTTAAATTAAACATACCGAATTTGACTTGTCTCAATACATCAAGTTCCGGATTTAAACTGACGAGATTCTCAAAAACAATTGTTTGATGGACTGGGGGGGGGGGGGGGGCTTTTGTCCTACGTGTTAATTTCATTGGGGGGCTTTTGTCAACCTTGTCATTTTTAGATGGGGGTGGGGGCGACTTGTCCGTATCCTATGAACAAAAAACTGTACTTGGTTAGTTTTTAGCTCGACCTTTTCGTAGAAAAAAAACTATTGCTACAGTCATGTTGCCTTTGCCACCATACAAAAGTAAGTTTTGTCGCATCAAACTGTTCTACAGGCAACATGTTAATGTGTGTAATCATAGGGGTGTTTATGTGTAGGTCAAGTTAAACATATCAACTGTTAGGTTGACAGTTATCTCATGGAAATTTCAAATATGCATACTTGCGTACAAAGGACTAAAATACGGGCAGTGTTAGTGAATATTTTAAAACAAGTCTATTAAAGCCTTTAAATATGATAAATTGTACACTGTAGTTAACCTAACTGCGTTTTTGCCATGCGCAGAATGGGACATTCGTTACTATGGAAAATCGTATTGTTAAAGGTTTTAATCGATGGAATCGGCTTGTAATATTTTTTTAAAGAGGTACACATGTACAAATTTTATACTGGAGTTAAGTGATATTTTTATATTGGATACTTCTCTGTTTGGTAATGTATCGAAGATTATATACTACATAATACTGGTCAACAAAAATGAGAAAATAGAACAACAAAACAATATTTTTATCATAAAATGTAAAAAAAAAAGAGAAGAAATAAAATAAAAAAAATGCCCTAATGCACTGTACGCAACTATATAGCATATATTAATAAAGATCTTCAAGATATTTTTACATTTAGAGCCGATGGAACCGACCTTTTAAAATTGACGGGCATTATATTCGTTGCCTGTCAGAAGGAATCGTAATTATACGCCGGATCTGGATACTTTTTAGCGCATGGTTGAGACACGCCAACAGATTTATTTTATTTCTATACATCATTGCATTAATAACCCATACTTTGGTGATATTGTATTAATTTTAGACGTTTGTCTTTACCTACCTTATTTTACGTTAAGCACTTTAAAGAACTTAATTCCATCCGCTAAGCTTGATTAGTTAGCGCTAACGGGTTCTTGAGTTTGAGCCTTTGGGGCCTCTCACAAAATACTGTACATGCAATATGAAATAATTTGTAAATACTGTTCAACTCAATAGTTTTAGATGTAAGACGCTATTTTTTTATTTTATTTAATCTACTCTAGTATTGTCTTACGTGCTGCAAAAAATATAAAATGATGAAAAAGCACTCCATCTGAGTCTTGAACCAACAACTGCTTGCACACAAGGCGAGAATCCTACTTTTATACACAAATCTCCATGTATCGCAAATATATAAATAATGGTTTTTCGTTTTCACCGTGTTTTTTTGTGTGTGTCCAAGATGTCGTCTATGTATCGCTGTCCTGTCAATGTGCCTCTATTTAGCACAACCAGGTCGGTTCATCCATCCCAGCTGATGCCTCCCCACTCTATACTAGTAACTGACCCACCTCCGTAGCGGTCATGCTTGGCAATATTTGCAGTCTGACACCGTTCACCTCGTCTTCTCAAATCTATAGCACGCCTATCTGTGAAGTCGAGGAAGACCCTGGACTCATCAGTAAACAGAAAGTGTTTCCAGTGTTGCATGAGCCACCGTGTTTGGTCCATTCCAAACGGGCCTGTCATGCGTCAAGGGGATACGTATGCAAGGTCTTCTCGACCGCAAATTACCTTCATGCAGGCTTCTACATACCGTCTGCGTGGAAACATGGACCCCGCAGCATTAGCAAGGTCATTTCGAAGAGAAGTTGTTGTCGAAAGCCTTGTACGACGTGCCTGATCTTGAGCTGGTGTTGTGATCCTTTGCCGACCTCCAGCATGCTTACTGGCGGGTGTAACATGTAGCCAGTATCTCTCCCAGACTCGGGTGATGACGGTCTGGTCTACACCAAGCGCCGCACCAACCGGGCGAAAGGTGCCCCCTGCTGCACCATCCCTATAGCCCTTCATAACTCTGCCTCTCTCAAATTCTGCCTTTATTACGCCATATCGAAGAGGTAGATGTAGAAATTAAAACTACTGATTAACAGTTAGCTGGTAATATCACCGTATAACAAAAGAAATGTGATTGTACATGAACATATTGTGTCGCTACCTAGACGAGTTGTAACGGATGAGTCAACACAGATTCGTGTCAGAGGACTATCTTAAAACATTGCTGAATCAGAATTTTAAAATATTGGTAAGAAATCTGTTTTATACTTGTGATTATATAAAAATTAACTTATGGTGCTTAGCAAAAGTTGAGTAGTATAGTACTGGTAAACTGCTTGACAGTCTTATTTAATTTGTCTACCCAGGAACGATGAACTGTGCTCAGGTAAATTCAATGTGGCTTACAGCCGTGAACCGGAGTGAAAACTAGCAACATCATCACCATCAAACCTCGTTTTTCAGGGCGTTCGTGGCCGAGTGGTTACGGTATCTGACTTCTAGCCACTTGACTCTCACCGTTGTGGGAATCTCGACAGGGACTTTGGATTCTTCATGTGAGTAGGCTATCCAGCTAGCTTACGGAACATCGGTACGTGGTTCTACTCGTTCGTGCCTGAAACAATGCATGGAGGGACACCTGAGGTCTACCTCCACCAATAAAGCTGGAAAGTCGCCATATTATCTATACTGTGTTGGTGCGACGTAAAACCCAACAAAAATGGCATCTTTTCACCAATTTAGCATCTGATTCTTTATAGCGACAAAATAAATGAATAAATAAAATCATTTCCTCCATGACCTTGAGATGAAATTGGAATAGTTATGTTTAGCTCAGCCATCAAGAAAGGTTCTTACCGCCAACCTTCCGCTATTTAACTCTTTACCTCATAAATTATTTACGCGAAACAACGCACTTTCGACCCCCCCCCCCCTTTTTAGGCCTGAAATAGTGAAAAAATGTCCTATTTTGGGCCCCAAACAAATGTTTTCGTTTTAGATGTTGCTAAAAAGTGAGCACTTTGTGGCGCCGCCAACCCCCCCCCCCCCCCATCCAAAACATACATCAGGAGGTTGCCAGAAGGGGGATGTGCCCCCTTCTGTTTGGGGGTTTGAAGGGGGGGGGGGCAGACTTGTGAGAGGCTAAAAATGACCCCAGGTCGATCATAAGGTAACGTGTAACCAACGCTGAAAAGCCTTTGACTCTATCTCAATCCCTTGAGAAGTTGCAGCACTTTGAAATAAATTTTGATGCAAAAAATCGAGGCAAAATAGTGATTTTTGGCAATTTAGAGATGTCTCCTCGTTGCCATGGTAACCGGAAATTTAAGACTGAGCATGTCGTTACAAAGGCAAGGTCCAGTCAACATTTGTGCCAAGTTTGATTAGTATTGAAGCATTTTTCATAGTTTCATAGCAGTTTGAACTTGTAACAGGAGGCTTTTTAGTGAAAACGGCCATTTTTCACAATATGCTCATGAGGGAAAGGGTTAACTCTGAAATGGAATGGCTAAATATACCTACCTAACAATATTAAGTAGCTCTTTATTTAAGAATTGACAACTTATGTAAGAATTGAAAATGAAGTCTGCAAGGGTTCAACAAAATTTAATTTAACAATCATTTTTTTATTAACGCCCTAGCTTAAGTTACATACCCTTGTAAATATTGATCAAACAATTGCCCACGGTTTAATTGAAATGATTTGTATGTCTATATATAATCAGGGAAGTAAATTGAATGACGTTTTACAAAGAAAACGATATATTATAAGTTACGTGAAATGTAAATGGAATAACAATTATATAA